GAATACAGAAATCACAGGTGGCAGTGATAAAGCAAATTTCCCAAGGGGCATTAGGAGATAAAAGATGGAACTATGACAAGATCTCAACAAGTTACATAGTTTAAGTTGGCCTATTGTTACAGCGTCGAGGTGTTACACGTAGAAATTTAATATATTTTGTTCGGAACACTAAAAGTGAAAGACTAGATACAGCAATTAGTTAAATGGTAATTGATGCCATTTATAAAACATTATTACGGAATCTGTTCAGGGGATAATAATTAATTATTCTTACAAAACTGTTTGGTGATACACGTATCTCACATTTTTTTTGTTAACCTGTGGATCAGTTCTCCAGAATTCTGAAGCACTGCGGCCAATTCTGCTCTTTTGTGCTTTCCGCTGTTTATTTATTCTTTAACAAATTTGTTCTTTGGCATTTCATGTTGTATATTCGCTCGATATTAGTAAATGCTTCCTTAATCCACAGTCCTCATATTCAACATTAATTTATTCTCTTCAGTGAGAAAACATCCAATTTCAGTTGATTTAATTTAAAAAAATCCTGAGTAAGTTATAAACACACCTTGTTTGAGTCTTTATTGTAATCTGGTTATTGGAGCATACGTGGATAAGCTTTAAGCTTACGTAGGCAAATCTCCCGAAAATTTCCGCCAGATACCTATACATTTATAGCGTAGATTTTTGCTTGGTACTGTTATAGGGAAAGCTCCTAGCTTCCTTGGCACCTTAGCCTCAGTCCTACCACTCCAACTTCTGTTCTACTGTCTATTTTGGAGCCATCACTAAACCATACCAGCCTCCATTATTTCAGTGTATTATCTAGCACGCAATGTACGTATATTATTACTTACTCGCCGTCTTCTGCTATCGGCATCATAAATGACTATTAGAGTCCTTGTAGCAAGGCGCTAGATAAGCATAAACAATTTTAAATTTGTGTTATTACTTAAGTCTTTTACCAAGTATTTCATAGCACGACTTCCCCCGATATTGTCTCTACTGCTGCTACTTTGCTACTTTTAAATGTTGTAACATCAGTTGATTATATGTTGTTGGATATATTTAATACCTAAGTTGAAACCTATGTACTGAAATTCTCAGTTTGCATACAAGATAGGGATTAAATATTCAAATAAAGTCGGTGAAAAATCTGAAAGTATCTTCGTTGAGAGTTGTATCCAATGATAAATCTGTCCCTTTACCTTTTCATTTAATACATTCGTGTTACATTAATTTACATATCTATAGGATGTTTTTCAAGGCCCAGTCAATAGAACTATAAAAAATTGTCTCAAAATATTAACACTGTTGTACAGTGCCTTTGATTTAAGAAACAGTTTATAACCTGTTTTAAATAGTAAAACTCGGTAAATATAAACTTAATTTGAGCAGATTTTTCTGTAAATGTGCTTATTTATTCTCATTGTTATAAGTAGGGAGTTATACGTAGGTGTGCGTTTTCCTCAGAATTAACTATTTTTAAAGATATTAATAAAATGGATGATTTCTTTTTGCAAGAAGAAGTTACAGCCTTATTTTTTCTCGGTAGGTAGTAATTTATTTAAAGGAACATCCTCTATAAATATTATGCTAACATTTTTTCTAGATTAGTAATATCATCGTAATATTTAACGTATCTGTCTGTATATTTCGAATTGAACTTATTTAAAGAAATGTTATAAATCACAGCTACAGGTATTTATTTTTCTTACTAACACCTTACGCATACCACCAAATTATAACTTAATTTTAGATTTGCAACAGTTTCGAATCTATTTGAAAAATATACCAGAGTATTTTATACTAGAACACTGAAAGTAATGTGGGATACACGACACACAACTGCTAATGTAAATATAACATTTAAACTTGAAAATCGGTGTAATGGGAATGTCAATGTTAGGAAGAGTAGGTAGTAAGACATGCTCGGATGAACGTGGCAGAGCTGCACAATACACTAAAATAAACTGGTCTATGCGTTATTACATTGTCATAGTAGTGGTCGTTTTCTTGTATAATGTATAATTCATAGAAAAGATCTAGAGATCGTAGACATTGCTAAAAATATCGTTAATAGCTAAAAGTTAGGTTTAAGTTGCATTTTCTACCTGGCTTTTATAATACTCCAATGGAAGTCATTAATACATTGACTATATCGTTACATTTACACGATCAATATAGGTATATTTGAGTACATTCTGAAATAAATACAAAGGTGTAGTGGTCGTATCTAGATAAGAAAAAAAATATAAAATCGTCCTATAGTGGCCTGAATAATTTGTTTATATCATTATTATCGTTAAAATGAGGTGGGTGACCGAAATGTTTGATTAAAAAGTAAAATGAAGCTTGATTTATACACAGCAAATGAATATTTATAAGTTTACACAATCACTTTCGCCCTGATGCATAAGAATTTCAGTTATCAACAATATTAATTCTCGAAGGTGATCCACAATTTGTTGAATGCCCGTCTACGATACATCACTGCAAATTTCATTGTAAAATATACGTATTAATGTCATTCATCAGAAAATTAAAATATTTCTCCGTTTTAAACATAAAAAGTGCACTTTATTATTTCATTTTTAAACATAGGTAGAATAATTATTATTAAAGTGTGGGTATCTCCGTCACCATTTAAGATATATCGCCATTACCAAAGATGTACTATTCGAAATGTGTTAAAATAGACATAAACAGGCTTAGAGCTACACATGTGGTAGTTATAATGGGTACTAAAATATCCAACGAAGGGATACGTGCTTTCGGCCCTCTTAGCGATTAGTAAATGCAATTAGAGAATTATCTGTTAAAGTAATTAAATTAACATAAGTAATTATCTAAGTATTTAGAATGAATAACGCTGCAAATAATGTCCTACTGTAATTGTTACTAATAACTTGTACCTAATAGAACTTTTTCGTGAACATAAACCATAAATCAATATTCCGTTTACATTTGTTTTCTTAGGTTTAATTTTGGATGCAATATGCATTATATTAACTTTAAGAACCGTACTTATCTATTGATCTAACGATCTGACACTTTTATTTTCACATAGCTAATAATTAAAATTAACAGAAAGCAGTACACATATAACTGTATTGTACATGTGTTATACAAGGTTATATTTATTCAACTGTTACTAAATATGTCTTATCTTCGTAGTTTCGAATTTGGTGGAAAAATTAGTGGATACAGATTTACTTACAACAACGCCCTTTCATCGACAATAATATAGCAGGTGGAAATATATAATTTTTCTTTATTTTCATATTAATTAAATGTGGAGTATTTTAATGTGCTAATGCAAGTATACACTTGCATAGTATTTTGCCCTGCTATTTTGTTCAATTTCTTAGGTGTGCAGGCTTGTTATACTACAAATTTAGTACGTTTTAAAATAATAATTCGCCCACCTTTGGTACCCAGCCCCGGAAAACAGACAGCTTATGTGTAGATAAAATGCAGTCTTTATTCCCCTCCATATCTTCCAACACTATGAGTTGAGTTTTATAAGTGTCTATATACAGGGTCGGAAAGTCGCCATGGTTCATCGGCCGTTACGTGAGAGCGATAAAGTAAGTCATAGAAATCCGTGCGATAGAGAAAGATGGCTATAATGAAGGCGTCTAATAGTCACCGCCCATTTCGCCCTTCCACAAATGGAAGTGGATCTTATTAATAATTTTATTTTTGGTTTTGTGAGAAAGTTTCCTTAAAAAAATTACAAAGTATTTTTAGAGCTCCAAAAATGTATTAAAAAAAGGTCACATATTCTACTTTTATATATGTCGAAGTCGTAGGGCTAACTTGGGCGTTAATATCACTACTTATGTCACTCATCTTCATGAAATAATAAGTAATACCGTATATGAAAATGATTTAAAATAAAATGTTACAAATAAAGTACTCGAGGTGTTTTATGACAACAACCATAGGCCCGATAACGAATCCACGGTCAACAGAATAGCAGTGTACTCACGTCTTCAATGCTCAAGTAGAACTGCTTTCAGTACATATCTCTCTGTACTTCTCTTCACTCGTCAGGTCAAAATTATTCTTAAATTAACCAATAAAATTCGTTATATCCTAGCGATTCTCTTAAAAAGTAATTTTAAGGTAAATGCTATCTGTCTATCCTTTGACCGCGGCTACTTTGAGTGACCCGTAAGTCCCCTCAAACCCAAGCTTGCCAACATAAAACTCTGGAATAACATAACCGGCTTAATTCACAAATAACTATTTCTAAGTTTTATGGTCTAGGTACAATTTATAAAAGGGTATTCCTTGAGTAAAGAATTCTGGAATTTCCAAAGTCTGAAGGACTCGGCCTGTGACAAATACATCTATATATTATTTTTTAACGGGGTATCCTTTATTTTTAATATGTTTGAAATAATATTTACTTAAGTTTTTGGTTATTCTATTTGGGTATTTTTTTGACGTAAGAGTTTATTTAGCTAATTAAATTAAAATGTTAATAATATGTCAATTTTAAACGCGAAATCCAATAAAATATGAATGAAGTGAAGTATGTTAGAAAAAATAGAAGTAGAATCGGTCACCCTGTATATCTGTAAAGCGGATATTTTTTTGTAGTAGAAATATATAAACTAGTGCAAGAAAAAATTGCATTTAAGCATATGTATTGCTTTATATAACTTGCAGAATATATTTTTAAATATGTAGTAAAGTGTTTACATAAGTGAAATTTCTAAGAAGCCGCTTGCCTTGAGATCAGTATAAATCTAACGTAATATTGTCCTCACTAAATATGGTAATGTCAGTGTGCAGTTTTTTAGGAACACCTGTTCTTTAATTAAATCAGTTTCAATGGCCCTTGCGCCGCTTTTACCTACTTGAAAATGTGCAACATTTAAAATTAACCCCACATATTGTGATTTTAAGTTATTATTTCCTTATTTATTCAACAAATTGTGAATTTTGAACGTGCTAAAATGAAAATGATAAATTTAATATTTATTTTACAGAATGTGGTGGACCATAACAGGAAATTTTGGCAACATTCTTCCCATAGACTGGTCAAAATCATACGCGAGGAAGCTGCAAATAAACGCTCTGCATTTAGAAAAGGTAAGATTCAATTATTGTTTTATTGGACTCGGTTTAGACATCTCTTTGTAACATTCCTATGTTGTCACGTACCTTTAACTTTCAAGTACGTACTTATAAAATAAAAGTTTTAGCAATTTTAGATAAAGGTAAGTTTAGTTAAATCATTTTATTTTGACCTCAAGAATATGAGATGGATCCAGCATAAGGTATATTGAGACACTCTGGACAAAGTAATAACTATGGCGAATATCAACTTTAATTGATTTCGATTAGGTCAATTTGCAAGACAAAATTAAGTAGGTACTGTACTGTAACTGACATCATAAGTGTTAAATGTTAAAATGCAAACAAGCCGTTGTAAAATTTTAATTTGAAGGTCCATCTTGTAAGAAAATTTAAAATCGTGAATACAAACCACAAATGTTATAAGTAGTCGATAAAATTAAAATGTACTTTTAATTCTAACACTACAAAGACATAATATTATCAGAACGTCATATCACTCATAACATCATAATACAAGTATGTAACTATATAAATATTATATCAATAATTGCAATAATTTCCATCGTGCCTTTGTTATTTCAATAAGTGTCCCGTATTTGATTATATGTTTATTATCTTATCACAAGATAAAGGTACACGTTTAGAAAAACTGTTGAGGAGTGAGTTATATATTGGTTATCTTATGAATTACAATGTTGGTCAAATTAGGACAAAGTTGCGGAACTCGATGATGATTTAACATGTCGAAGAGAAATCTGACCTATCTTTTTTGTTTTGAAGTTAACGGCAAGAAACTGAAAATTTAGATTTTCGTTTTTATTATTTTCTTCAGAAACGGAAATACATGAAAGTCACAGCAGAATGATTTGTCGTGGCTTGCTTTTTTATTTTTACTAAATTATTTACTTTTACAAAGGGTGCTTTGGAAACAAAACATTCAATAATTTCACAAAATCAAATTTCGAGTTCAGGTAAATTTTTATTGACAAGTGACCTAAAATCGCAATAATCGCATTAAGTAAGCCTTCAAATTAATTAATCAATAAATACGATTCAAATCTAGTTGCCAATTAAATTTTGATGCTGTCGATGAAAATTTAACTGAACATCAAAATTTTGTTTAAAATAATAATGTTTTGTTTTCAAAGTTTACTCTTTGTAAACGTGGATAATTTAATATTTTAACGAAAATAGACATCACAATATACAGATCATACAAAACACATTAAATTTTCGAAAAAATAAGCTCAATTCAGAAATGATAGGTGCAGTTCTATACATAAAAAAACAATTGAATGAGAGCCCTATGATGTAGCTCGAAAAACGGACACTCTGTATATGGATAGGTCCTATATGGTGATGTTAAGACTACAAACTACATTATCTCTTTTTAACATACCTTTGTTGTTCTCGGTCTAGGTTCCATGGGGGCGGATCCGCTATTGGGACCTTTAGGCCGCCCTGAAAATGGTATTTCGGTTTTTGTTGTTAGTTCTACGCTACAGACAGAACCGTTCCTAAAACAATGGTCAAGCCATAGAACCAGGAGCAAGGACCAAAATCAATATCAGGGCGGGCCTAAGGGTTCCGATAGCTGTTCTGCCCACACAGAGACGAGCCCGAGAATAACAAGGATGAAGCCCTTAGCTGAGGCCAAGAAACTGTATTTGTAAGTCTGTATCTGGCAGGGACTAACCATGGTACTTTAAGCTTTAAGGTCTTATGTGACTATTTCCGATTAGATTATTAGGAAATTTTTAAAAATTAGTTCGAATTATTTTAAATACGTTTAAAGAACATATGAAGAGTATACTAAACTTTTCTGTTGTCAAAAATACTTTGCTCAAAAAAGACGCTAGACTTTCTAGAGTTCTTAGATTATGTTGTTACTGAATAGTATAATGCAATATACGAAACAGGAAAAAAACAGTTTGCTGGCTACCTACTTAGGAACACCTATCGACTGTAGAAGAGAATGGCAAATAATAAACATGTATGGAAAATATAATGAATACTTAAGTTAGAGTCTGCCGAATAATTTACTAAAAAGCAGGTGTTCAATATTTTACCAGAAAGATTTATTTTTTAAGTCAGAATACTGATTATAAGCCAGAAATTAATGTTTTGTGAAATGCAAAATTGTGAATGCAATATTTTATTTTGCCGAATCTTCTAAAGCAATAAAATAATTAATAAATACCACTTAGGGCACATTATCGTGATGAAAAAACAGTGTTGTATCTATCAATTTTTACCGAAAAGAATGAAGATGGCTATTAAAATAGTAAATAATACACCAGCAGATCATTTAGGGCCTTTATTTGTAGACTAATAGTTCTACTTGTTTCCTCATTAGTTCCTGCTTAAACATTAATCCATCTAAAATTTTTAGTCACTCTACCTCCTTTTAAACCTCGTATCATTGGCAAACACTTAACAAAACCCATAAATTTAAACACATAAAAAAACTTAAAAAACTTAAATTGCTCAAATGCTAATTCATATTGGTGTAGAAAATTTTAAAAAAATTAATGTCATATGATGATATTAATATTTTCAAAAATTAGCATAGTAAAAAACTAAAATTAATTAAAATAATAACTAGTATAAAAAACTATATATATTAAGAATTGATGTATAATTTTTAAATAATCATATGAATAATGTTTAATGGCTTTAAAATGTGTTTCTCATACTTTGCCTTGGTGTTTTTAACTGTACAATGAAAACAAATTGAATTAGAGCAATGTAAAATGATGTCATGCTTTTTATGAACTTAATCATCGAAATACGACCTTTTCTAGTTTTATATTCAGCATTGTTTTATGTTAACTTGTAAAATAGCTATACCATAAAAACATTTATTGTAAGAATGTAATATCCCTTCTATCTTATATCTTCAGAATTTAATTAAAACTGAAAATGTTTGTCAGTTTTAAAAAAATCTGCAATTTAATTCTCTGCAATCAGGATCAGTTAAGTATGAAGCCATACGCTGCCTTGAGTCATTTCAATGCATTCGCGACCCCACTGAAACTGTCTTGATCAATATTTTACTTCGAAATAATATGATGTAGCTTCGTCTCCATATAGAGCAACCACTTGTTCATGTTCTCTTGTTAAAAATTTATTTTTGATTCATTCATTAAATACAAAATAACGGAATAAATACATTTTAAATTTCAGGGATTTATCTTATTTAAGTTTTTTTTTCTTTGGCTAGGAACCACAAACCCCAGAAGATGATCTAGATTTAAGTTCGGAGGATGAAGCAGTGGCGAGCGATTTAGATATGCATGCACTTATCTTAGGCGGCTTAAACCAAGACACAGAACCACTAAAAACTGCTGATGAAGTCATTCAAGAAATAGATGATATGATGCAAGATGAAACCAGTTCATTGGATGGCTCACCAGGTTCAAGAGACTCACTGATTGAAAATAACGAAGTAATGGAAAAAGCAAAAGAAGTTTTAAGTTCTCCATTGTATGAAGATAGTAAGTAGAGTTTTTTCACTTAATATCAAGTCTTTTTTTATTTCCCATTGTTATAGAACTGCGGGATCTAAGCCTTTCCCAGCTAAATGAATTGTTCTTGGAGCTAGAAGTTCTGATTAGGGAATTTTCGGAAACACTGATATCAGAACTAGCTCTTCGGGATGAACTTGAGTACGAAAAGGAGTTAAAGAATACTTTCATTTCCCTTCTTTTAGCTGTGCAAAACAAACGCAGACAGTACCACGTTGAGAAGAAACGGAATGCAAAAAATTCTGTATTGAAAACCCCTAGCGGACTGGATCCAAAGGTATTGAACTGCAGCACCGAATTACGTGAATGTAGAATTCTTTTTTAATTTTTATATTTTTGTTTTAGTATTTAACAACTGTAATTCCCTATCACATAGACAGTGGACCTCCAGATAATCAAACTTTGCAGGTTCTTATTAAAAGTAAGTAATAGTGAACCGAAAGAATTTACGGTGTGGCGTGTATAATCTATAAATTTAAACTACAGCTTTCTTGTGATATTTGTAACAGAAAATTCTTATACGAAAAAGTTCTATCTTCGAGTTTTTTTTTTTGTAAATTAAAGTTCATTTATTCAACAAAACTGAAGGCCGACCCTGTGTTATTTATTAAAAACTTTGGAAATGTTTTTATGCGACCTGAGATGCAACCTTATAATTTAAGTCGGTATAATCTAATTCTAGACATTAAAGCAATGGTTTTAGANTTAGTATTTAACAACTGTAATTCCCTATCACATAGACAGTGGACCTCCAGATAATCAAACTTTGCAGGTTCTTATTAAAAGTAAGTAATAGTGAACCGAAAGAATTTACAATTATACAGGGTGTGGTGTGTATAATCTATAAAAATTAAACTACAGCTTCCTAACGATATTTGTAACAGAAAATTCTTATACGAAAAAATTCTATCTTCGAGTTTTTTTTTGTAAATTAAAGTTCATTTATTCAACGAAACTGAAGGCCGACCCCCCTGTGTTATTTATTAAAAACTTTGGAAATGTTTTTATGCGACCTGATGATGCATCCTTATAATTTAAGTCGGTATAATCTAATTCTAGACATTAAAGCAATGGTTTTAGAAACGATTATTCTATGTTTGACACAATTTTTTTTTAGTTTTAAAAGCCATTAATGAAGACAGCCCTACAGTACCCACCTTGCTAACTGACTATATATTGAAAGGTATGTATTTATTAATTAGTTAAGTTATTAAAAGTATAATCTCATCAATAAACTCACTAATTATGTTTTTATATTATTAAATTGATCCAATAAAACTATTTTATTTCTGTCTGGTTTAAAGTATATTTTTGAGATCAATCGTTCAAAATTTTTAAAAATTTTTTTTTATATTGAAGCGTTTGTAAACTATCTCTTTTTTTCAGTTATTTGTCCAACGTAAGCACAAGATGGATCAAAATATAGCCTCAATATATTTAGCGAAATAAGCTTTGATGACATATTTTGAGTTGCAATATTAAATATTTATTTTTTACTCGTTTGTTATAGATGTAAACTTTGTCCCACACAGTAAAATCGGGCCTTAATAATTGAACTAGTAATGAAAATTTTATAACACAAAACATGTAACACAGTTACTCTAAGGATAATATATGTCTCCTAGCTGTTACCTTCTACCTATTAGTATATCGGCAGATTTAGTGTACCCGTTAGATTGGCTTCTTGTAAATTCTTATTAAATCTTGCACTTTAGAAGAAAAATAATGCAATTATAAACTATGTACCAAGAAGTTTAATAAAAATATGCCTTCTAACTATGTAATATTAAAAATGTAGAGTAAAATTCGATATCAGGTTGACTTGAAGCTCTTTACGGCAGCTAGAAATAATTTAATATTTCGAAAGTAGTTTCAGTAATTGTTCGTATTATAAAACGGGACTAAAAATCAAACATATTTGCTGTGTGGTACAAAATAGTTGTTCTTCTGTAAATTACGTATGATTTGTTGTAAATATTTTGCTTAAACATTCTAGTCTATTGTAATATAAAATGACAATGTGAAATGTTAAGTAATATACCTCTTTGTCTGTATGCACACATCTTCGCTATATTTTGTGCAATAAGCACCTGTAACTCTCGTTTCCAAAAATTTAGATACATAATTGAAGATTTTACAGTCGTTCCCTGAAATTCATGACTTTTTTAAATCAGATGTAACCTGTAACTTTTTAGATCATTATCCTAGACCATTTGTAATAAGAAAAACTTTGAGTCGTTTAAAGATGGAAACTAGAAGACATTGTAGTGGTAAATTTAGTTTGGTGAAAATAATTATAAGAAGTTTTAATCCTTTGCAGTAATTATTGTTCGATGTATTTAACTTGAATATTACATACACGTTCTGTGTTTAACTGAATTTTATTTCAAATTACCGATTATTTTGGTAGTATCTGGGCAACTTTATTATTGTATATTTTTATTTTAAATGTTACATTTTGTACAAAGTGATATTAACTTAAGGATATTTATTGCTATATTTTCATATTCTTGCCAATTTTTTTTCTTTTTTGTTTATTTGTCAAGATAATTATTGTAATTGTAAATCTAGGTCATTTTAAGATCTTTGTCTAAATGTTACCTGTTCTGACAAATGCCTGTGTAGATCTCAATTACAAATAAATCTTTGCCCTCAACATATTTTTCAATATCCATGTTAATACCTTTGAAAAACTCTTTTTAGGCACCATTAAAATGAAAAAAATAAAATAAAAATAATAAATGAAATGAAAATGACTGATTAATACTTGATCCTACTATTAATTCAATTTCATTATTGAACCCTTTGATTGAAAGAAATGCGATAAAATAAAATACTTATATATACAGTATGTTTCATTAACACAGCTACACAAAAAAATAGTCTGTACTTTTCATGCAACATATTTATCCACAGTGTTTTTGCCTACTGATTACAAATCCAGTGTCGGAATTCAGCTATCACATCACAGGAATTTCCTAACCTCAAAAAATAGGTCAAAAATAGCAAAAATTCACAAAAAAGTGCTAGGAAAATTACAAAAGTTTTTTTTTTTCTATATTCAAATGATCATTTATATGAACGTGAATCGGCGGTCAGAATTGATTATTCTTTTTCTAACCTCAAAAAAAAACGGGTCAAATTTCAAAAATAAGATTCGCGCCAAATTTGGTATACGAGGGTTTTCGGGGTCGCTGATCACGGATCCGAGGTCAATTTTGCAAATTTCAAGATTGCGGATTCAAGATGGCCGGCCAAATTTTCAAAAAATAACACATTCGCGCCTTTGATATACGGGGATTTTTGGGGGCGCTGATCACGGATCTGAGGTAAATTTTGCAAAATTCAATATGGCGGATCCAAGATAGCCGACCAACTTTTTAAAAAAATAACACATTCGCGTCAAATTTGGTATACATGGGTTTTCGGGGTCGCTGATTACGAATTCGAGGTCAGAATTGCGAAATTCAGTTTCTTATATTTTTGTTTATAACCTGAGCATCCAATCATGTTTTAACCTTTTTTTTTTTTTTAAAAAAATAAAGACCACTAAAATTCTGTTTCACCAGTGGCGTAAAATTGTCCCGACCTTAAGCCTCTGGTAATAGTGAAAGTATTTTTGATCACAATTTAAAGTAACTAAACTTTTGCCAAATATAATATGTATTAAACAGTATCAAAATAAAGGGCAAAGTATGACAAAAAAAGTTGAGATAGACTATCTGAAGTCAGTTATCTGTAAGTATATTAAGTTAAATCTACATATTTTGGTCCAAGGACTATCCAGTTGCTATATGTCTAATGAAACACTTAATTCCCAAATATGAAAAAATTTACATCGAATTATGTCATTATTGCTAAAATAACAACCTCCTTTGAGGACTTCAGTAAACCATATTCATATTACATGGTCAGAAATAAAAAAATTGGAGTGCAGGAAGACTCAGGATATAGGCAGAGGAGACTATATTGAAAAATGACAAGACATTTTTCTGAAAAGTTGGGTATCTTTTGTTCATGTATATATTTATTGCTTGAAGTAAAACCACTCAGTTTGGTATGCATCTACTCTCCTACACGACAATATTCTCGAGAAGTAAAAGTTGCCACTGTTGCATTTTCGCATCACAATCTGATTTAATACATGTGAACTTTGCTAGCCGAGTCACTGAAGTAAACTTAACTAACTATAACTTTGATCTATCGCTTCACGGCAGTAACATTGGGAATTAAGAGGTACGAGGAAATAGAATTGATGGACTGCCTTAAAATTTTGCAGGTGGTTTTTCACTATTTATAGAGCAAAAAGTCCATTTATCTAAAAAATGGGCAACAATTTTGACCATTCTGATAAACTTTAAATTTAAGCAACAAATACTTACATGAAGTTTTTTACACACGAAAATATAAGGAGGAAAGTTGGGTTCAATTGTCAAGTACAAAAGTATTGATAATAATATATTTTATATAGATTACATTTTTATTTTCTTTCAAATGAATAATTAAGAAAATGTAATAACAAAATATATAAAGATCTTCCTGTATAATATACTTTTTATCTAATAACCATTTTACGTATAAAGATGTTTATATGCATAAGTAATGTACCTATCGATGTGATAATTTTCTATACATGCGGGGCACACACCGATTTATACTTTCTAAAACATCCAAATATACAATTACAGAAGCCAATTTTTTATTTTTCGTAATATAATAAAAATTACATCACATATTTCTTAATCAAAACTGCTTTATTTATATACAGGGCACTCCTTGTTTTTCTTTACTCATACGAGTTCTTTCAAATTAAAAAAAAAATAATATCAAATGGAAATAATTGTCTTATATATATATTAGATGGAAAAGATATGTTTTAATACACCTTCCTTTCATTTCAAAGCAAAGTCCCTTAACTTACTTCAATCTATACACAGCTCTAATCCTCATATGAATGAAACACCCTGTATATGTAAACAAATAAACATGGAATATAAACAGAATGTAAATGAAAAACTAGTATATATTTCTATATATACTTATGCACAGTTTTAATCGAAATATATATCTTAGCTTATTAGACATCAATTTCTAAATTAAAATTTATAGGTACTGTATGTATAATGCCATAAATAACTCAATAAAAAGGAACCAATGGTAATATCGAACATTTCATACATTTTTAAACAAACGGGAACAAAACAAATTTTATATTCTCAAGATTATTTATGGCGATTACTCAGTATTTCTGTGGACAATCCAACTTTTTGTTTTTAACTTTAGTTCTGATTTCTATACATCTGGTACCAAGAAATAATTTATTTCCATTAGATATGATAAATACCATCAATTTTGACTTTCCTAGCATATAGATTAAAGAACTGTACAAGTCAATTGCCACACACTCAACAATTTTGAAGATTTTTAAACCCAATTTCACACAGTATTTAAAATTACAGTAAAACCTCACTTAATCGATCCTCCATTACCAAACGCTCCAAAATATTCGACATTATTTATGGTTTGTATTTTGTTCGTCAGTTCGTTCTATCATCTGTAACTTTGCGTTCATAAATCACGTTCATATTTAATGAGTTTCTAATACTAAATACTGGTCAGTGTCCAATAAAGGAGGTTTTACTGTACTAATTACTAACTGAAGAGCCACAACCCAAATGCTCTATTGAAGTGTTTCGTAAAATGTTGTCTGCATCATTAAAGAATGTATTTTTTAATTAACGTTAAAGTAGTTCAATCTTACAAAACACTTGAAATCAATGATTCCTGTGAACATCATTAAACAAAGAATTTGAAAATGTGCAGTTATGTGTATCACACGTTGACAAAGAATATATGAATATATATCCTTAATGATTTTCAGTTTACAGAAATTAACCACTACATATTGTGTAACTGAAAAAACACAATTTTGATTATACCATTTCATTTACATTTTACAGTTAGTCAAAAATTCTCCAGATGCAGTGCATACAAATTTTTTATATAATTATTGCCTCTCGTAACTCGTGTAATTTGGATTAAATTTTATCGGATTTGGGGTATCTCGAAAACTATGTAAGCAGAAATACTATGTAGGTCTCGGAAGTTTAAAATTAAAAAAATAATGGCGGAAACCCTAGCTGGTTTGAAGAATAAAGATCCTCAAAAAATACCAATTTTGACTAATCTCTCTGCTGTATTACTAACGTACGGGGTCAAAAAACGACAAAAACTTTTTTGAGTAGTCGCAGGAGAATAGAAGAAAAAAAAATTAAATGCATGTTTTTTTTTAATTTGAGTTAAGTCAAATTTGGTCCATTGCTGTTTTTTTCAAGTTATTCTCATTTATTTACACGATTTCTTATACAGGGTGATTCCAAATTCAGTACAAAGAATTTAGGGGCGTATTTTTGAGATCAAAATACGACCGTTTTTTCATATAAACTCAGGTGCACAAATGCCAAGTTTTCGATATACAGGGTGTTAAAGTTTTTTATTTATTATTTTATAGGAATAATTTCCAAACCGATTTAAATGTTGGCATAAAACTTAGGCCACGGAGGTTTTTTAGAATGCTAAATTTAAATGTCATTGCTTTTGATGCTGCTTCTAGATGGCGCCACCTACAAGGGTACGCTTGAATTAAATTAGCCCTAACTTATTCCCCCATCAATTTGAAGCAAAAAAAAGGTATTCTTAGTCGAAATCCCTCAGACCAACCGTGTCCAAGATATTGGCTGATGAAGGGTTATTTGCACACCATATTTTCAAATTTTATAACTATTTACGGTGAAAAATTTTAAAATTTATTTTGGACACACGTTTATAGAAAAAAAATTCTTATGACCTCAAAAATACACCCCTAAATTATTTGTACTGAATTTTGAATCAGCCTGTATAATCTATTCATATTAAGTACATTCAACACTTTTTCGAAGACCGTTCCTTTGAAGTTTTTTATTATAACACCGACTTGTTTCAAGAAACGACTATTTCTCTCTTATAGCTAGTGATGGCTAAATGACCAGAAATGTCATTTACAATTTCAAAAATTATATTTCCTTCAGTTGTTATTTTGTTATGCTTAATGCCCATTTTTAATTGTTTTTATAGTTTATAATAAAACTACCTTTTAGTTCTGGTCCCACATATCAGATTTTTGAAAAATTACATTGTCCATCATTCATTGTCCATTATTTGAAAAAATTTAAAGTATCTACACAAGAAATGTTACCTTTAATCATATTTAAAAAAGTTTAAAATAATTATAAGGAAAAATTGGTGACTGCCATCACTGGTTGTATCATTTTTTTTAACTGTTTGGATGATATTCATTCAAATATAACTTGAAGAATGATCAAATTTTGAAGTGATCGCGATGAATCGATTTGAATAAAACTAATGTAGTTTCAAATCTGTTGACTTAACCGACAAGTGAATAGAACCATTGATGACACAGCCACACAAAAAAAAGTTCTCTGTACTGGGTCACTTATCACGAATCAGATTTACAAAAATCGTTTTTAAAAATTTAATCAATTACCTATGTACTTTAAGATGGTTAAAACATGATAGGGTACTCAGGTTATAAAGTAAACAAAAATATTACAAAATGTATTTAGCAATTCTAACCTCTAATTCGTAATCGGCGACCCCAAAAATCCCTGTATACCAAATTTGACGCGAATGTGTTATTGTTTTAAAATTTGGTCGGCCATCTTGAGTTTTGTAAAATTGACCTCAGATCTGTGATCAGCGACCCCGAAAACCCCCGTTTAGCAAATTTAGCGCGCATGGGTTATTTTTTGAAAAGCTGGTCGGCCATCTTCGATCCGCCATTTTGAATTTTGCAAAATTGACATTGGATCCGTGATCAGCGACCCCTAAAACCCCCCTCTACCAAATTTGGCGCGAATCTGTTATTTTTTGAAAATTCGTGATATCTGACCTTAATTGACCAGTTTTTTGAGGTTAGAAAAGGAACCGTCAATTCTAAAAGCGGATTCACGTTCGGCGGTGTCTTAACCATATAAATGAACATTTGTATAGAACATTTTTTTAAATTTTTCCTAGCACCATTTCTTGAATTTTTGCTATTTTTGACCTGTTTTTGAGGTTAGGAAGTTCCTGTGATGTGATAGCTCAATTCTGACACCGGATTCGTGACCAGCAGGCAAAAATAGTACGAATAACATATGTCACATGAAAAGTACAAACAACTTTCTTTTTTCTGTATGGCTGTGTAATCTTTCAACCAAAGAAACGTGTAAAACGAATGAGAATAACTAAAAAAAAACTAAAGGGTTTGCGGGCCTGCGATTTTATGAACTATTCGTCTTACTGTTCATCAGAGAACCACCTGTACAACTACTGCGGTGAAATATTGCAACATCCTGTATATACAAATAATTAGGAATTAATTAAATAATTAGGAATTATTTGCGAGTATTCTGAAAATAATATTAAAAAAATTAATTTGTAATATCAACTTTTATTATAATAGGCAATAATTAATTAAAAATGTAGATATATATATAACTTTCGTTTAATCAACCCTTGATTGTCCAACGTTCAGCATATATTAACCGACTTATTAATTTAATAAGACCGACACCAGGCTAACCCCATCAGGGCCAGACAAGTGGTGGTTTAACCTACATTAATTCTGACGAATTTTTGACTAAGCCTAATTACTTTTAATTCTATATATACAGGTCCATTTTAAATCTCTAGTGTCTACTAGCGCATTTTGCGTTTCTTTTATAAATCCGCCCTATACTACTCACTAACTAAAAAATTGCTAAAAAAACGCCAACATCATTAAAACATGACATAACAACATATAATAATAAAATAATCTAATAAATAACCTAAGAGATTTTTATAAAAAACAATAAATATCAGGTGCCGTCCGAACAAAGTCATAAGTTTTTTAAATAGTCGCAACAGATGGAACATTAAGCAAGGAACACACTTGCCAATCAAGTTCGAAACAACGGATATTTGTAATCAGAGAAAATAACGGACACAGCTTACCTGCTAACGAACCTTTTCGGATACTAAAGTTTCTTGGGGATCAGTTATGAAGGGACGCTCCAAGCGTATTGCTATACAGGATACAGGCAATTTTTTTTGAGGAATCAAGACGCGCACCTGAAAGAAAATGTTCCGACTTTTTTCCAAATCCTCACGTTTCTTTCTGAACAAACGCGTAAGATTATTTGAATTTGTAACTATAGGGAGAAATAAATGGTATTATTCGCCCCGTGGACAATTTGTCAGTCGGTCATTATCCTCCGATATTTCCTGTTTGGAGGTCTGATATCGTCGTCGTCGAAGTTCTCGTATGCATACTCGGGTAGGAATTTTTCGAGTTGCTCGTCAAAGAACTTTTCCAAAGTCTTAGCGTCAATGTAGATTTGGGAATCCTCCTGTTCACACGAAAACAATAAATGAGCCGTAAAAAAAATGTAAATATATCCACTCACCGGGTTATACGTGTACGCGTTTTTGAACATCAGTCGTACATCCCTAACCAATTCCTCCATGTTTCTGTAGTGATTCTGTGTGTTCCAATTTAGTTTTTGACGAATTGTATCCAACGCGATCGGTTGCTTTATAATAGAATGATAGTCGACGTTCTAGAAGAAAAGTAAACATTTTTATCAAAATGTATGAACGGTGTATAGTTCACTTACTTCTGGTCCAATAACCTCCCTAAATGGCAAACTAGGGTCGTACTGACAATATAGCTCTAGAACGAGCCTTTCAGCAATTTTCCTCTCTTTCAAGCTCAGTTCGCCATCTTTCTTTTCCGCTAGAATACTTTCTGGTATATCGGCAAAGTTCATGCAGAGCAGACACTGCCATGTGTCGTTTTCTCTGAAAAGGTGTAAAAAATCATTTTGTTTAATTAATCAATTGCAAACATTAAAGAGACCGAATATAATGAAATAAAATAAAATAATACTGCAAAAAAAACAAAAAATACATAGAAAAGGAAATAACAAATTCCAAACGAGAAATATTATTGGCCATAAAAATTTAGAACTTATGAAAAAGCAAATATAAAAAGTTAAATATTGAAGAACTACCCGCATTATATGAAGTTTTAAAAATCCTTATTATTGAGGGTGGTGTCAAGTGAGAATTACAATTTTTAATACAAGAATTACTTTTAAAAAATATATGATTTCTTTAACTGATATTTACGAAGAAATGAAAGAATTCAGTTTGAAAAATTTCAATAATAGACTTCATTTTTATTAAATTTAACCATACTGGCCCAAACTGTGAGCCTTGGGGCACACCAGGCGCTACTGCGATTTTGTTGGATATAAAATTTTTGAATCCAACAATCTGAAATCTATGAAATATTTAAAAGAGCATCAGATCGCAAATGTCAAACATATAAAGTTTGTGGATTAAAATATTTTGAGTTGAGGCCAACCAATAGATTTTTTGGCACACTTAACTATTTAACATTTTTAAACAATAAAAACTGCAAAAAAATGACATTTTTTTGTTTTTTTTTATAATTTCTCGAAAAATAATGATGGAATCGTCTTACTCTCAATTGGACTTTTGCAGAGAATAAAACAACCTATACAATGATTTTTTGTGCGGCCCGATCGGTTCATTTTTTACAGAGAAAATCGGGAAAAACCTCTAAAATAGACCTTTTTTCAAAAATTTATAACCCCCGTCAAATTTGAAGCTGGAAAAACAATCTTGCGGAAAATAACAGATAATAATATGTAGTTTAATCGTGCGCAAGCTGGTTTCTGTCCGCTGCATAGTTTTTGCACAATTGTAATCACTACAAAGTACTTACTCGACACTCAAATTGGGAATATGGCAATATTGATGAAACACCTTGGGGCACTTGTCGCAACAGACCAGCTCTCCGCCGTCCATGCACACAGCGCACCAGTCCTCGTTGGGATCGTCCTTACTCGTCTCCGACAATTCGGATTTGATCTTGGTGGCCGGCCCGGAATCACCCGTTGAGCTATCGACGTGCGGGGAGCCCCCCTTCTGCCTTCCTTCAGCCAGCACCTGGACACCGTTAGAATCCAACTTGGCAATCGTAGCCATCAGGTCTTTGACGGAGTCTTCACAGAATTTATCCAAATTTTCAGTGTCCGATCTTCCTTGTATGTGATTGGGACTTGGTGTTTTGGGAATGGTGGAAGTAACGGTGGCGGGAAGATTTTTATTGGATTCAGATTGAGTTTGTTGGCGGAGAGTTATTTTGAAGTTGTCATTTATTGTTGGAAGAGTCATGTTTCTATTGTTGCCATTGCTTATAGAAACTGATATAAAGAAAAAAAATAAAGTGCTTTTATAAACACACACAATTAAAATAAATTACGGTGTTGTCATAAGTGAAGTTTTATACAGGGTGTGCCGGAAATGTGAGGTGATTCTTATACAATTTGTTCATACGAGCCTCCCTAAAGTGCTAAAACCTCTTTTAGGTGGGGGTAAAAATTATGTTTTTTGTTTTAACTTGTATCGAATGGCTATAATTAGAAAAGCGAATGTTGGATGGACGTGTTGCTAATGAAATGATACTATAGCAACATATTTCTTACTTTTTTGCTACTTCACAAGACGATAGAAGCTATACCAGTTGCCGTTTTCTTTTTCAAAGAAATTGAAACAAAATAATATGTTTTAAACACTATAAATTTCTTTTCTATTTTTCTGTTATTTAACTATTATTATTCGCCAAAAAAAAAAAAGAATTAAATGCTTTGCGTAGAAAGTATCATATTTTTTATTTTTAGTGAGAAAGTAAAATGGACGCGGAGATTTTACAACAAAAAAAAAAGACAGAAACTACATATAGTGCTGTAATGCTATGCTTGTGCCAAAATTGCTTTTTCTAACTGTAGCTATTTCCGATGTAGCCTGAAAAATATAATTTCTATTGCTATTTAAAAGAGGCGCCTATATGGCAGAAGCTCGGATGGAAATTTATATGGAAACGTATCATAAAAATAAACAAAAAATCCACCATTCCCTTTTTCCCAACCATTTCCGGGACACCCTGTGTAAATATGTAAATAGCATAATTACTCTTTTTGCTTATCATGTCTCATTGGGATTGCTCAAAAAGGATTGCTTATGTGGGGGAATGACGACAACTTTATTGGAAGCTTCTTCTACGTTCATACGTTAAGTTTGAGGATGATACAAAATACATGACAAATATATTTTTTTGAAATATACACTTTCTTGAGGACACTGTACAACCATACCATAAAATTGATAATCTAATTTTAAAGCTACAGTAAAACTTTGCCGTTCATAGATTTCTGGTTCGCGGATTTAAATTTATGCGGTAGCCATCCATGTCACCTATTCTTTGCCATTTGCGGAACGTTTGCTTTGTCGTTTGCAGTCCGAATTTTACACATAATTCTACAGTTGAAAACCTGATTATGAGAAACCATAAATAATCATAAGTGCACATATGCAAGAACTGGATACATAACAAACCCTTGGATTTGTCTCAATTCATCAATTTTTGAGGATACCATAAAACACCATAAAACACTTGAAGTTACATATTTATTGCTTTCTCCATAATAGGGCCCAAAGCAGTGCATGTATCGACAGCTTTTAAAGTGCTTTGTTGACGATTCTACACAGGGTTGGGATTATTAATTTAAACTTAAAAACTAAAATCATGCAGCTTTGAATTTAATCTGAAATTTACCGTCGTGTGGCCTAGCTGAAAAATTTATTAAATTCTTTGCGTTTGTTTTAATTTTTAACACATAAATTAACAATCGGGAAATTATGTTCTTAAAATGCAAAGCTTCTGTCGTTGACATGTCTATAAAAAGGCGCAGAAAAGTGTTATCTTTAAGTAATAAAGTGAAAAGTGGTTCAAGTGCTGCGTCTGTTGCATCCGAATATGGACTAAACGAGTCAACTGTCCGATGCATAAAAAAACCGGAAGACAAAATCAGATCTTCGGTACAAGCTTCAGCTAAACTCACCCTAAAAACTGCTTATGTAAGCCGCAGAAATCCCTATTTAGAGAAAATGGAAAAAATGCTTAATCTTTGGATAGACGATCAAACAAACAAAAATGTGGTATGATAATTATAACTAAAGCTGAAAGCTCTTTTCAGGACCTTCAGAATTATGTACCTCTTGCAAGAACAAGTAAAGAACCTGATCTTACTTTCCAAGCAAGCAAGGGCTGGTTTGATAATTTCAAGAAACGTTTCAACCTTCACCATTTTAAAATTGGCTAAACTACTCGTGCCTATTGAAGAAAAAGGATACCATTCGGATCAAGTATTTAACGCAGATGAAACGGGTCTTTTTTGGAAAAAGATACCGACCAGGACGTACATAACACAAGATGCAAAAGTAGCAGCTGGATTTAAAGTTGACAAAAATTGTAGAAATAAGTAAAGTGGGGAGAGAAGGTTTCGAAAATCTAGAGGCCGAAGATGTGGAAGAATTGACCCGAAATGAAGACGACGGTCTCACTTATACAGAACTTGAAGAACTAACTCGAGAAGACTTCATTTTGAGTTCAGAAGAGGATGAAGAAGAGCCCAGTGTTATGAATCTATTAACAACAAAAAGTGTACAAGGAGTGTTAGACAAGATGTCGTTAGCAGAGGATTGGATAACCTCTTTTCACCATACAAAGAACTTTTAAAAGAATTGAGAAACCATCAAATTCAGAAAACAATGACAGTCTTTTTCCAGAAGAGGTCTATTCCGGAATCTGTACCAAGTACACAAAATTAAGTTTGTAAGTGTCAAAATTCATATTCCAGAATAAATATATGTAAATATATAAATAACTGAATTATGTTCCTGATATTTAATTCCGTTTTAAACACTGACATAATGACTTGCGCATCGCGGATTTACGCTTCGCGGGAATCTTCTGGAACCTATCCCCCACGAACGGCAAGGTTTTCCTGTATATATTTTTAGATTAAAAAAATTAGGTAAAATATAAAAGTGCCCTTTGCAGAATTTCAGTGCCAGTTTAAAGGTCATATTTACAACTGTAAAATAGGCGCGGATCCAAGAGGGAGGGGGGAGGTCGCGATGGTCCAAAAAAAATCAAAGATCAAATAATAAATTAACAAAGATAAGAATTTTTCTTGACTACTGCATAACCTTTTTTCTTTAGTAAAATAAATGAATAAAGATTAAAAATTTGATGTGTCTCTTCAATCTCTGGATCCGCCCCTGCTGTAGTAATAAACACACATTTAGCGAAATATTTTTATCATCTTTTAGTAAGAGATCAACTACTTTATGAGTTTGTTATTTCAAAATTACGGCCTTAAACTTAAAAATAATAATAATACTTTCACTTCCATCCTTACCTGTAGAACTCTGCTGCGGAATGTGCCACTTGGCTCCGCCGCCGCTAGATGGATACTGAGGCGGCCTCTGTTGCATGGGCATCCTACTTTGTTGATTCGGAACCAACATTCTCATCTGGGTAGGCTGAGGACCGAACCTGATCTGCTGCTGGTTCGGGAACCTGTTTTGGAATTGTTGGGCCAGGTGCGGCTGAACAGCCTGGTACTGTCCGGGCCCCGTTTGGATATAAACGGGGTTGTTAGTGCCGCTGTTACTGTTATTCGGCTGCAGGAGGTGTCGCAGATTGCTGCGATCGTGTAACATTCCTTGAGGGTGAGTCGAAGAGGACACCTGCTATGAATTAATATATTTCATGTAAAATATACCTTAAACTTGTCAATTTATTCTTAGAAATTAAAGATTTCTGTGTCAGAATAGTATATAGGGTGTTTAGCAGAGAATGGTCATATTTTGACAGTAGTTTACTTGGATCAAAGTAATAACATTGATTCAACATTTTTTCTCTGCATTCGTTTGGAATTATTGGAATTTAAACTGAACATACAAAAGTAACAAAAACCTGCCTGCTGCTGTTGCTGGTTCAGACCCATTGGCAGCCTAGGTAATAACGGTCTCTGCAATTGAGGTCTCTGCATTCTATTCATGCTCAACTGTTGAGCCAAAGAAATCGGTATGGCTTGAGGAATATTATTCATTGCGGGCGGGCCCATGTTCTGAATTCTATTCTGACCTAGAAAGAAACAATAATAAAAAAAAACATCCATAAAAAGTCGACTACAATTTACCCATATTTTGAACCATGGGCTGTCCAATGTTTTGCCCTACCCCTTGATTGATATTCTGATTCATTCCTTGCATGTTCTGTCCCATGTTTTGACCGGCATTTTGGGACATACTAGGGCCGATTGCTTGCGGGCCCATATTCTGCGACGAATTGCTCATTCCCTGTTGGTACTGATTATTGTTCTGGTATTGGGAATATGGCGGTGGTCCTGGAATTCTAGACGGTTGAAAGCCAGATGGAGAAGGGAGTTGGTGCAGAGGGCTCATTGGCGAAGGTTGTTGGGGAGGCCTTCCGGTTCCGTGCCCTGGACTCGGGGAACCCTGCGGAGGGAGGGATGAAGCGGGAGAAGAAACTTGAGACGGATATATTCTCCCGTCCACAACGATCTGTCCGATTGTCGACATAACTGAAGAAAAAATTGTTCCATGTAATTAACATGAAATTAATACTATTTGTTTGCGTTTCTGTCTTAATTTCTTTTGATTTAAGTAGCCGTGCGCTCCGCGATTTTAACTTCATATTGACCTTGTCCTCAAACCGAGGATGGGGGGGAAAAACTGGATGAGAAGGGAGAAGGGTCGGGAGATATGAGTCGACATTCAACAAGTGTGTATGTGAAAAGCTCTGAACAAGACAACACGCAACCGAGACTTCAAGTTTATTACTAATTGTGTACATTGTACCTGTGAGAGAGACAAAATTAATACAAAATGTGCTAGTTCCTCCCCCCATAGATGCTGCAAGCGAGTGAGTCGAGATCGTGAAAACATCAAGGTAAGAACAACAGAAATCGCCGCAAAACTCTTCTCTAGTACATTCATTCAAACCTTTTTTTTCCCCTAGTTTAATCACTATTTATTTAATTAATTAAAAGTGTGGAATTTATTAACCAAGTATCTATTAAATTTTTTGCTTCTAAATATTTTTTTTTCATTCTTTAAGTGCATATTGAAAGTACATAATATACAGGGCCTGTCAGTTAAAATTACAACTCTTTTTTACTTTTTTTTTGCTTTTCAATTCTTTATTCAAAAGCTTTCATAAACTAGCAAAATATGAATTTAAAAAAAAATTGAGGGCGCTGTGTCCCACTGCCCGCGAAAGTTATAAGACGTGGATATGTCTTAATACTTCTTAATACTTAATACAAAAGTTACAAAACTTTACTTCAAAGGTCAATGTCTTTTTGAACAGAGCAGTTAATTTTAATGAACAAGGCCTCAAGTAGAAAGATTATTTTATTTTTTCATTACATTTCAATTTCTGGGGTAACACCCATCTGCACGAACGGTTTTATAGATGTACCCATGTGGTAATGTTTTTAATAATAGGCCAACTACTGAAAAATTGAGAATATTTAATTCAAATTGAAAGCAATGTATTTTACCTGTAGAGAGGCCTTGCGTAAGCATAAAATAAAAACACAGAATTATCAACTAAACAGTAAATGAAACACACCACCTACCTTTGATTAAATCGGGAACCTTGTCCAAAGCCAGGTGGATTCGAACAGGAATCTCTGGATTTGGAATATCGGCACGTTTACACTTAATTCTTTTCAAATGGTCAGTGACTTGCTTTTTACTGTATAACAGTGCCATATCGCTGCCATTTTCAAGGGCGTGCTGTGTAAATTCTATACAGTGGTCCGTCATTTTAGAGAGCTGTTCCAATGCCAGCTTTTTTTCTTGGAGAGTTTTCTGTTTAGATTCGCAAACTTCCGTCAACTTAGCAACAAGTTGCTTCCCTCGGACATTAATAGTGTTAGTCAATCTATAAGTTTACTATTAGAAACAAGATTTTATAATTAAACCAATACTTACTTGACCACTAGCTGAGTGATTTCTTTTACTAACGCCTGTTTCTTCTCTGTAATTAGATTCTGCCTATCATCTATTACTTTCATTGCACTTGTCAATAATGTTCTTTTATAACTAAAATAATACATCAAATTGATTTGTGGAAAAAAGACAACTGAGATTGAATTACCCGACATCCTTTAACATCTCGGCTATAAACTTTTTTGCCTCCGATGCTATCTCATTAGTGAACTTGTATTTATGTTCACGGTGTTCTATTAACTGACAGTCACGACAAGTTAATTTGTCGCAAGTTTCGCAAAAAAGGGACAATTTCTCATGCGGATGGTTCAAACAGAATAAGTTAGCAGGAGCGCCATTTGACACACCCTGAAGTTCCATTAAGCCGTCCTCTTTTGCCTTAATCGTGTGGTCTTTAGTAATTTTTAACCTAGCAACAATAAAAAAAAAAATGTCAATAATTCGTAGTCTTCGTGATATTAATAAATCATATATTGCTAAAATATCGCACAATTCCTCTTTCAAGTAAATGTTTTGTTTTTAATAATTTACCTCTGATGAGCTTGCACACAATTATCACAAATAAATTCTGAGCAGTCAGTACAATAGCTACTAGCGACTGCATCATCGCTGCAGCTGCTACATTTCATATCAGCACTCTTTGATGTGTCTTCATTAGTCGAGAGTTCTAGAAGGAACTGATTCTCTATAATACGATTGGGGTCGCACACAATCCCACATAAGGGACATTCGATTTGCCCTAGGAAAAAAAAGATATGTATTCCTCAAATAATTAAAAATTTCTAAAGCAATGATTTTTCTAGACTTGATGATAAATTTTTATTTAAAACTGTATTTGGAACAAGATTTTGTGAAACGAATAGTTTTGGAGTTATATAGGTATTTTCTATTTATATAATTTATTATTTTAAATTAAAAAGCTTGGCAATAATTCATTTTTAGAACAAATTGGAAGATATTGTTTTTATTTGAAATATAATTACATATCAATTGAAACCATCCAATTCTAAAAAAATTTGTGGTGTAGCAATTCTCAAGTGATTTTTTACTTTAGTAAGTTAAACTGCAAACCCAAATTTCATCAATCTACATAAACATCCTCAGAAATATTTTAAAAGTATTTTGAAAAATATGACGGCTAAGGAGTAGGTTATGCTCTCAGTCGCAATAAATGATGTTATAACGAATGCATTTTTGATCAAGTGACAAAATTTTAGTTTTTACATAATTTTAAACGTCTGTAATTAATTTGTAGCATTAAAGATTTTTTTTGCCACTTATCAGTTATACACTATATATCTTTGCATTTCTAAAATTAAATTTAAATCTTTAAATTAAATTTTTATGTAAAGTTGCCCATTTGTGATTCTTCAATTTAAGGAGTTGAAATATACAAAGACAAATAAAACCCTTCAAAACAAATTTGTATCTAATTTACAGAATGACAACAATATTAATTTCTTTATGTAGAGGGTGTAAAATCATATTTATGCACATCTGGGCATTAAAGTACATTTTATGGACATGTTTTTCGTGTGTTAAGTGCCATTTTATAACTCACGAGTATATTATGACCCTAGAGTAACTTTACAACTGTCTTTTTATATCTGTTGCTAGGTAATGGTAACAATTTGATTAATCGAAGACAGAACAGCATTGTGCAATGAATTGAATATATTAAAATGTTAACACAAATTTTAAATGTTAAAAACTTACCCCTTGCCATTCCATCGTTATGCTCATAGAGTTTACTATTAATGCAACTGGAACAAGAGTTATGAAGACATTCCAATAATTTGGGATCATCGTTAGCATTTAATACTCGGTCACAAAACACACATTTAAAAGTAAAGCTCTCCCTTGTTGTTGGGCTTTCAACGTGCTGCTCTTCTGTAGAATTTGTATACAAATCTTTTGCTGCATCTTTTTGATTCTCTAAGTTTTCATTTGAATCAGAGAGTAACTGATCAATCATCAGATCTTGTGCTTGTGTAAGTGTATCTGTCTCCGAATTCATCACATTTTCTGTTAACGGCGACTCGGTGGTCATTTGATTTATGAAATTTTGATCGTTGATGAACACTTTTGGTTCTGCCATGGCACCTATCTTAAAGGAGGTCATAAACTTTAATGATTAATGCAAAAATTCATTACTGTTTTAAGCTAAATGCTACTGACACTTCATAATTAATTTATATACTTATATTTTATGCCCGCGTTTATAATTTATTCGCACAATTATTTATTTATTTTTCAATTATGACAGTTTCACTTTTTGCAGACGCCTTTTCTCCATTGTAGAAAACAGACTACCACTATAACCAATGAAATTACCCTAAACAAAAAAATCAGTAATTTTTTAGTGTTATATAAAGAAGATGAAGAAGAGTATATCCTAAATCTAGAAACATTAATATTATTATGGAGGGAACACGCGTACGTCAACAGTATAGTCGAGTGACAGAGAGAGAAAGATAAAGTTTGGGTATCATATTTTCTCTCGCGAAGGCATATGATTGGCTAATGCAACTCCTTCCACAACGATTAGAGAGAGAAAGTGAGTAACCAAACTATGGACTTTTCTCTTTACAGGGTCTACAATTTTTAACAGGTGCTTCTTCATGTATCTCCTTATATTACAGATTACGTTATCTATGGTTCATATTATGTTTTATAGTTTATGGATTATACGCATTATGATTAAAAATTGCCCACCAAAAAAATGAAAAGCATTTCCGATTTTTGACATCCGACCGAACCCAAACTTCAAAATTGAAATCTGCGTTAACTGCATGTTTGGAAATCTTGGTTATAATCATTGTTGCATAGTTTTAAAAATTGATATTTTAGTGAAAAATGACTAGGTATGTAATATTGTTCTTTGTACTTCATTATTTATTGTAGTAGTTTCATTCCAGAGAAAATATAGAACTGGGAAATGTTACTCCACACAATATAAAACAACTTAAAAAACTGAATAGTGTCGTCTTCCCGGTATCATACAACGACAAATTTTACAAAGATGTTTTAGAGGCTGGAGAATTAGCAAAATTAGCTTATTACAATGATATTGTTGTGGGTGCAGTTTGTTGCCGAATAGATACTTCGGAAAAGAGTAGGAGGTTGTATATAATGACACTGGGTTGTTTATATCCCTATCGAAGACTAGGCATAGGAACGTTAATGGTACAGCATGTTTTAAATTATGTAGAACAGGATGGGAATTTTGACAGTATATTTTTGTAAGTATTTTCTAAACATCGCTATCATAATGCAGTATATATATTTTGGAATCAAGATAATATTAATCGGTAGTGCCTTCGCAAGGCTTTTAACCACCCACGAGCAATGCAAGAATTAATGCTTCGTGTACCTTTTGGTGAGACATGTAACAAATTATTAAGATATCTGATATTATTGCGTTGCTTATTTCATTGTGTTTAATTAAAATTATTTCATATATTGATGTAGAGCTATACTTTGTATGCAGTGCAACCATTCTTCGAAAATGCGGCTGGTCAGGTAGTTAATGGTGCTTGCTCAATTTAAGGTATTTTCAAGGGAATAAAGGAAGAGGGTTTTTAAAAATATCTAATTTAAGCAAACACACATTTTATGTAATAATTAGAATATGGACTTTTAATATGATTTCATGATTATTGTTTGTCAGTTTTATATTAATATCCATACAATTTGCCAATTTTTTAATCTAACACATCAATTTTCAAAAATATCCGGACCACCAAACATTTCTTGCCGACCCCTGGTCTAGTACATCACAACTGTCTACCAAATTCACTTTCATATATTTTTAAAGCTGATACAGACTAGAAATTCAGGTGAGGCCAGGCTCACAGTTTGTTTACAATCTAGTATTCAGACTGACATTCATTGTGTTACATTTCTATCTTATTGTTTAGTAGTAGTATTGCCTCAAATTTATAGAGCAATAAAAAACTGAGGTGTCGTGTCCTGAGCACTTAATCTGAAATGATGTACTTGAGATGCTTCTAAGAATATTTTATCAAACCATGAACAAAGTGTGACCAACCATGACTTGAGATATGTGGGAATTTATCTTATACTTGCTAGTTAAATAATAATTTCCATTATTTCAAAAAAGATAGGTTTACTACTATATACTTTATTTTAAAAAAACTGCTTATTTTTACTCACCTGTGGGTGTTGTCTGTCTCTTTTTATTTACTAAAGTCCAAGCCCTAGTAATAACAAATTATACTTATAAGCATTATTTGAGAAATTTCTTTATAGGGATCCTTATTTTTTTTTTTTAGGGATGTTAGTTATTATATTTTACCATATCACTTTAAATATTGATCTTAAAAATGATTTTTTTTTGTTTTAGGCATGTTCAGGTAAATAATGAAGGTGCCATTGATTTTTATAAGAAATTCGGATTTGAAATTGTCGAAACAAAAGAACATTATTATAAAAGAATAGAACCAGCAGATGCTCATGTTTTGCAGAAAACATTGAGAAAAAAAGACCAAACTAATGGCACCATTGAGTAATTTAAAATCAGTAATTATTTTTTTAACTAATGACAAATTATTTTCGTTGTTTTTACCATTTGTTTTAATTTAAGTCGTTTTTTTTTTTTTGTTGTACAGAACTGGAAATAAAACCAAGTGTTCACTTTTCTTGCATTTTGTCTCGTCATTCTAATAAAGATAATAATTTTTAACTAATTGTGTGAAGTGAGAAACAACTTCCTTATGGACTGCAGATAAGGATAAGTTAATCGATTGTATTCTCATTAAAATAAATTAAAAAAATATGATTTTACTCTGATAACTGCACAAATACTTATGTTAGCTACATAAGAAATAAATCATTACGATTTATCTGGACAGATCACTGTCAATTTATCCAACACGTAAGTATAAAATTACTTGGTTTGCACAGATATTTGCGACGGGTAGATGGAATTAACCTTTAATTTTTAACGACACAGATTATTACGATTTATCGTAATGTAAGTAGTTGGCATTAGTAAAATACATTAAATCTTTTATACAGGACGATTCAGAACTTATTCCAAAAAAAAAAAAAAATTCAGGATATACAGGGGACTCCTACAAATACAATTTTGTAAAGAAAAAATCAAAAAGGGCAGTTCGAAAATGATTTAAAAATATACTTCTACGTGGCACTGGAAACTGGTCCACTGTAAAACCTGACCTGGCACGTTCAGGTAAATAATGAAGGTGCCATTGATTTTTATAAGAAATTCGGATTTGAAATTGTCGAAACAAAAGAACATTATTATAAAAGAATAGAACCAGCAGATGCTCATGTTTTGCAGAAAACATTGAGAAAAAAAGACCAAACTAATGGCACCATTGAGTAATTTAAAATCAGTAATTATTTTTTTAACTAATGACAAATTATTTTCGTTGTTTTTACCATTTGTTTTAATTTAAGTCGTTTTTTTTTTTTTGTTGTACAGAACTGGAAATAAAACCAAGTGTTCACTTTTCTTGCATTTTGTCTCGTCATTCTAATAAAGATAATAATTTTTAACTAATTGTGTGAAGTGAGAAACAACTTCCTTATGGACTGCAGATAAGGATAAGTTAATCGATTGTATTCTCATTAAAATAAATTAAAAAAATATGATTTTACTCTGATAACTGCACAAATACTTATGTTAGCTACATAAGAAATAAATCATTACGATTTATCTGGACAGATCACTGTCAATTTATCCAACACGTAAGTATAAAATTACTTGGTTTGCACAGATATTTGCGACGGGTAGATGGAATTAACCTTTAATTTTTAACGACACAGATTATTACGATTTATCGTAATGTAAGTAGTTGGCATTAGTAAAATACATTAAATCTTTTATACAGGACGATTCAGAACTTATTCCAAAAAAAAAAAAAAATTCAGGATATACAGGGGACTCCTACAAATACAATTTTGTAAAGAAAAAATCAAAAAGGGCAGTTCGAAAATGATTTAAAAATATACTTCTACGTGGCACTGGAAACTGGTCCACTGTAAAACCTGACCTGGCACAATGCGTACGTTACGGCAGCAGTGATAAAAACGGACAAAAACTTGGAAAGAACTTTGCGAGTACAGGAATTTTATAGCACCTAGGTATTTTATATCAGCAAATTCAACTGATTTTGTCGCCATTATTATTAATTAATAAAATTAATTTGTGGTTTTAAATAATAAAATAATTTGACATATCTGGTGTTACAACTGTTCAAAATTTTGTCCACCGACGTGTCAACACATTTGGGTCCGTTTTACTCATTTTCTACGAACTAACACAAATGCTGTCTTGTTTCACCATAACACAAATGTTTCACCATAAATTAAAACAATATCCATCAACTCCGAGTTGCTATACACGCAAGCCATTTTTGACATTAACTACTAAAAAACTACTGTAAACACTAAACACGATGGCAACGACGACTGTAAAATGGGATTTCAGTATTCAGAATCGCTGAGGCCACGTGGCTCTCCACGTGTATTACGAATGATGCTACAGACTACAGTTGTCCAGCTATGTAATGGTTGACGGTACTACAACTTCAATAATTTTTTTATTGGAATCTATCACTTTTACAAAAAATTTTTTGTACGATATTGACTCCATTTCTCATGCCGCATCTATTCCCAATTTTTTTTGGATAAGTTGTGAATCACCCTGTACTGTAATAGGAGGGAATTACTACATGAAATAAAAAGCATTTTAGTTTTTGCACTAGCTCTGTATTACAAAATGATTAACTTTTTTTTTTTATAATCAATGTTTAGAAAAGAATTCCAAATTTTCCGACAGTAACTTATCAGATTAATCATTCTTTTAACAGACCACCTTCACAACATATAAAGCATTATTTTCTTTTAAATTTGATTGAATTCTAAGATTACTGGTTCTGTCAAAATTAAATTTGTCGGCTTTTTACAATCCTGAACTGAATTTAATGGAAATTTTACATATTTTTTTTTATTAGAACAAATAAAAATTATGGACAAAAAATTACATATATTGCAAGTGCATATACAGTAATTTAAAGAACTAAATGATTTCGATAATTATTTTTTGTTTTCGGAGAGACAAAAATCAAATGAAGTTGAATTATAACAAAAAAAAGCTTAAAAACTACATATTTAACTACCTATTTAATGAATATAAAATTCATTGTAAAGCAAAACATCACATTTTTTAAGCATGTTAGCCTAATTTATAATAAATACAATATAAAAACATAAATAAAACTATTCTGTGGTTTGTTTCAAAATATTATGAACTATTTTTATCATTCAGATTTCTCGTTATTATTAAGTACATTATTTATTTTTAAGAGTATTAACTGAGGTTGTACACTTAAATATACAGGGTATAGCAAAAGTACCGGAACGGCAAAATAACTCGGCGGCAGAACATTTTAGAGAAACATGTTAAATACAAGAGTTTCAGGATTTCTCCGTGGCTATCCGATGGTAACCTTGACATTGACCTTAATCTTGAAGATCATTTCAAGGTCAAATGTCACTCCTCCCTTGTGACCTTGCTGCCCTCGCAAGGTCAAACTAACAAAAGTACGGGAACGGCAGAATAACTCGGCAGAAGAGCATTTTAGAGAAAAATGTTAAATACAAAGGTTTCAGGATTTCTCCCTGGGGGGCCCAAGGTCAAAAGGGAGAGAGGTCAAAAGTATAGGGTGCCATTTGAAAAATCATATTGACCTTGAAATGATCGTCGAGGTCACCATCAGATAGCCAGGGAAAAATCTGAAACCTTTGTATATAACATTTTTCTCTAAAATGCTCTCCCGCTGAGTTATTCTGCCATTCCGGTACTTTTGCTATACCCGGTATAACAAAATCTAAAACATTAATAATTTATTTTGAATTAAACATTTATTATTATTTCTTTTTACAAAGATCACCAGTATAGACAGTTCCTAATATTTTGAAGCAAATCATATAAATTACATATAAATATAAATGTGAAAAATTATATATTTAATACAGAATTTTCAAAACTTTATATGCATTTGTAGTGCATTACATTTTTCTAGTATAACACATTTTTCAATAGCTAACATATTATAAATATACATACACAAATTTTTCACAAAGAAATGTATGTGATTTGGAATACAAGGTGCAATTTGAAATTATTTCAAAATCCTCCAATTTTTGTTACAAACTTAAAAAAAAATCATTTTTGGTAAAGTTTAGGAACTAAAAATCACTTTCCAGTAAAAAATTTATATGTAATTATAATTGAATACTATATACCTTTCCGCCAATGTCAAAGTAACAAATTCATACTTATGCTTTTACCAAATATTTTTCGCCAGATATTCATAAAATAAAGGTCAAATTTTTTTAATGTTCTGTATATTATCAAAAGTTTGACCACACCCCGGGACAAATGAAATTTGTTATCAACGTATGAAGTTTTCTTGAAATATCAATTGTAGTATCCCAACAGGGTGTATTTGTAAAAAAAAATATGCAAAATTTTATATAATGCATAAGAATTAACACTTCGGTTTCCTTTTTATTTTCTATGAATCCAAAAATGTGCTATATCTCTATTTTCGTTTAAAATATTGTTCAAAATATCACACAATCATAATGTTTAATATATGTTTCTAGACTATCTTTGGTTAGAGTATTTTCCAGAGATTCTTGTTAATTCTTTATATATTAAAGCTACTACGTATGATGTAAGTTGAAAGCCTTGTAAAAGTTAACTAAAATGAAGTACAACATTTCACGAAATATATTAAATACGCTCCAAAACTACCTGAACAAATGTAGACGTATTTCTTGTATGTTGTCAATGTACGTTGTATGGATTAAAGATTAGATATTTTTTCATAAATAAATAAATTAAATCACGAAGATCGCATATAATAATTTATAGCTTACTAATTATATAAAAATTTCTACTGTTCTATTTTTTGAAACGTTTATTATATTAATAGTGTAGGGCAATCATTTAATTTTTGTATTAAATCACAAATTCTTTGGCTAAAAATAATAAACCACACCCAATTTTAACTAAACTGCAATTCTTTGGTAATTATTTATAATTACTTATTTAGTAATTTTCAAATACTATTAATAATATTTTGCCATACGAACCAAAAACTGTGGGCCTCGTATAATTTATATATAAGTATAAAAGGATTCTAGTGAAATTAAAAAAAAAATTGATGCCCTACTATCTATCAAAAGAATATTAATGTTGGAATATATTATTGCAAATATGTATATAGAATTAATTTTAATCTAATGCATTCACACCAATAAATAGTTAAATTTTGAATTTCTATATAAAAATATGTTTTAATTCCTTTACTAACATACGTAAAATTCCACATACATTGTGTATTATTATTGTGGAGGAGGTAAATTGTCCAGGTTCAACAATTCCCTTATGCGTTCAATACAAACCTTAGAGCCTTCGTAAGCGTCTTTTGACAGCTGAAAAGAAAATACAATAACACACGTTATTATCTACCAACTATATAATTACCAAAGAAAAATTGAGAAAACCATGTGGTAGGCCGTTTAGAATATCTAACTTAACATTATTGTCCACTTTTTTCAATCTCTTTGCAAACATAACGCAGTCGTCTAGGCAGGGATCCAAATGAACACTCTAAAATACAATTAAGATTAAGGATTTTGCCGGTAAGTAAACGGAAATATCTTACAAGGACACGAACTGGTGGAAATTTCTTTAAATCTTCATCGGTAGCAAAAATTGGACTCAAGAAATGGTCCTTTGGTACTGTAAATTGGAACTTGTCTACCATGTTACTTTGAGTGTCAACGTCTAGATCTAAAAATTTTTCAGCTCCCGTTAGAGACCGCTCGCCTAAAATTTATTTCAAATTATTAAATAAATATGTAGATTTTTTTTTCATCAAACTTTAGAAATAGATTTTAAAAAATGATAGGTTGTTGTATAGAATGACCCTAAATTATCTCCTATTTTCTGTGCAGATTCGCAAAAATTTGCATTTGGCCCAATCGTAATATTTGAGTCTAGCGTTTTCAGATCTGATTTGTAATTTTTAATTAAACCCCCTGTATAAAGTATACAATTTTTTGAAATTATACAAACACTACATCAGGGATTGGCACCAGTAAAATTTTTTATGTTCAAATTCACAACAGTCTCCACATTCTTGGCTCTGGAAACGATATGGCAAAGAAAAAACGATACACTTTAATATAAACGGTAGAGACAATATTTACTTACTTTCAGTGGCTCCTAAAAATTTCGTAAAATGATTTTTCAGATTAGAAACCATTGCCGACACACGATTCTGGATGGAGTTGTCTAGATTTGATGCTGAAGTTGAAGAGCTGCCTTGTTTTAAAACAGATATTTTTGCGCCATCTGTTTCTGTATCTGACTCTAAAATAATACTTTTAATGGTAAATGGCATACTACATAACAAATTATTAACTTAATTCATATAATTAACTCACCTAACACGTATTTCTCAAGAAATTCCGAAACGCATTTCTGCTGTTTTTCGACATCAGACACCGTCAGGTCTGCAGTATTTCCATTATTTACGTCTTCAACGTTGGAAGACAGCGAACCATAAGTTAAAGTATCCGAAGTGTCAGATATTGGTGATTTATGTGCCTGCAACTCTAGCAGATCCGATTCTGAGATTTCCTCAAAGCTTTCGGTATCGGAATTGCTATTTGTAGTCTTACGCTTTGACTTACGATCGGGAAAAGCGTAGGCTAAAATAAAGTATTAATAATAAGGAAAATGTTTTTAATTAATCAAAATATTCATGTCACTAAAGATGAGATAATGTATACCTTTAAGACACCTCATCAAAAAACCAAAAGGCAACAACGGGTCCATCATGCAAAGAAGACGGGCCGGAGATGGTAGGAAGTGAATTCCAGTTGGCACATACGCAACAAATAGGCCATTTGGCGGGGGTATATTCATATGCAGACATTTTAAAGTGGTACAAAGCAGTAGATTCGCGCCTGCTGAATCACCAGCTCCAACAACGGTTTCTCCTAAAACACAGCCTTTTTACTATCACAGGCGTTCCGCTGAAAATACTGTTATAATTAAAAAAAAATATGCCGGGAAAAATTTCTGAATATAATTATACTTAAAAGGAAATCAGATATTTATAACATTAAATACAGGGTGTTTCTTATTAAGTAGATCCTTAGACTACACATTTTTAAACTTGTATGTGCATTTTTTTAATTAATACCAAAAAATGTTAACTTTATCTGTATTTGTTTATGTACAGTATATTTTTTTGTTTTTAAAACATTAATTCGGGGTTATTTGAACTATTTGAAAAATTTCTTTTATTATATTTTACCTGTACTTCCTAGAAGCGATGAATTTTTCTTAGCCCAGCAATAGGCATACAAAACTTCTTCCAGCGCCCTAGGATAAGGTGCCTCGGGTGCCAAACTATAATCTACACAAAGTATGGGCACATCTAAATCTTTAGCCCAGTCACGTAAGTATCCGTCGTGTGACTTGGACGATTGCGCGACAAATCCGCCTCCATGGCAATGAATAAGTAGGCCTTTTGCAGGGGGTTCGAGCTGAGTCTTATTTTTGGTCCCTAACATACCACTTCGTATTTTGTGACTAATTAGGCGAATCTGAATAGGTTTTTGACCTAAAATAATTTTATTCGTCAAGCTGAAAAATTATCTTCTGAATTTATAAAATTAAGCAAAATACTTGCGGTATCTACTAATGTCTTCACCAACCTATATGAGAAGAAGGAACTGGTATTTCGATTTCCTCTTCACCCACAGTAATAGTTAGCGGTTCAGGCGGTAAAAAAATGACTTTAGAAACGGCAACACTATTAGAAACAATGGATGGTAATTGATTCATAAGTTCAGTTTCAGACAAAAACCAGAAGGCCTTACAGAAATCAACTTCGGCATTTTGTGAAATGTTTACGATTCTCCTAGCACGTTGCTCTGGATCTGTAATATATTTTGTCGTAGACATCACAGAATTTGTTGCTTTTGAAATTAAGGAACCTAAAAAATTTTAACATACGTATAAGCCTAGAGGTCGAAAGTGTAAGTTATAATTAATGTAAATTACCAAAAATAACCAAAAATTTTACGGTTTACATATTTCTATTGTAGAACCTTACTAAAATTATGAAATTAAAAAGTGAATCTGTAAATAAATATCTTAATAAAATAAAACTAATAACTTTATTTTGTAAAAAATATATTGTTTTAAATGTGTTATTTGATACAGTTCCTTTTAAACAAACTTATTTTAGAAATTCTGCACATCATGTTAAATGAAATTCATATTTCACGAAAACTATAAAAGTTTCAAGCAGGATATCGCAACATGTTTATAAACGTTATCTTTTCTAAATATTTAAAAAATATGGTTATGCTCAGTTTCGTAAACATACTTTATAACACTAAACTGAATACTATTCTTACCTTGACTATAATAAACTTCAGAGAATAATGTCATGGATAAAGCAATAAACTGCAAAATGTTTTTTAATGAATCGCAATACTGAAACAAAAAATATAGAATTTGTAATGTTAGTTATGAAAAAGTTTTTTTAACATAACGATGAAATATTCATTTAACTGAAAATTAAATTATTATAATAATCATCATAATAAATCAATTTTAATACTTTTAACTCCATATTTTTTACCTGAAAACCTAAATGTCTTCCATAAAAACAATGCTGATTTATTTCTCCACATTTTGTAAGTAATTCTTCAGGTGTGTGTTCTTCCCTCACAAATAAATTACCTTTGTCACTCCAAGTTAGCAATGTTTCTAGATGCTTTAGGCAAATGTCCAAACTAGTTAATAAATGAGAACATGATTCTACATCTCTAAAACAAAACTTCAATGACGAACACAAAAAATTTGTATCTAAATGTAATCCTCAAGTGCTGTTTGTTAATGTTTTAAATAACTTTGGCCATTTGTGTTTATATTGTAAAAAAATAGGTCATGAGTGTCAAATGAATGTATATCAGAATTTTAAGCGAGGAAGTAATACAAAAATCTAATTGAAAATAAAAACAGATGCTTTCAACTCATACATTTTTTTATAGGTGAAAGGACTTACTTAGTTAACGTTGTTTTTCTAAACAGAACACTATCCCTCCTAAATAAAACTTTTTTATTTAAGTCTATAGCTAAGTCAATTGCTAAGTTAACAACATGTAAGTAACTTCTATAGCCATTTCCGGGGGTTTCTTCATCAAAATCAAACTCACTAACATGTGCCTCAATGTTAGATATTTTAGGCCATAATGCATCTACTGCATCGTTCATTGCAAGAAAAGAAATGTATAATCTCTGACCATTTTCACTACTATCTCTTGAAAAGTAATCAGCGTTGTTCGTACATAATTCTTTTAAAACATTTCTTTTGTCCTCAACATCTTTTTTACATAAATTGTTAATTTTACCATTTTGAGATTCCTGGTTTTCTATCATTTTCAATTTTCGTATTCAAATTATAGTAACAAATAAACACTGAAACACACTTTTACACTCTTATAACTACTGGAAAATATTTGTTTTTCTTGAATTACTAAACTGTCAATTTATTACGTCACAAGTGTGTAAATTGACATTTCGAAAAGCCGCTAAATAATGAAAGTAGTTTTCTACTTTCGCCACCATAACCCTAGTCTGTATTATATGTTTTGTGCTAGTCTCCGCAAGGTACCGCTACTAGATTTAAGGTGTTTTCCTTTTAACAAAGTTACTGATTTCGATTATAGCAGTTTTGTTTTTGCAATCTATACGAATTTTGCAACGATAACATTTCAACTAGATTTTTGACTCGTCATGTTTGCATTGCAATATTTCAATTTTACAGTAGAAATGTAACGGCAGTATAAATGTGAAAATGTGGTTGGTAATACATCAGTTTCGACAACTTTACCTTGATTTGTCAACTGTCAGCTTTCAGTCCGGTTGAGAATTCGACCAATGCAGAAAGTATTTTCAACGACTCGTGCATTTGATTTGTTCACAATAAAATCAATTTTAAATTAGGTTACTAATAATAGAAGTTGTCTGAGGTATTTACACACTAATTTATAAACTATTGGAAAGTATTTAGAGCAGCAATTTATTAGCTTGAACTTAAATAATTATTTTTAGTCAGTAATTTTTAAATTTTATTTATCGTTATTTTAATTAGGTGGTGGGGGATGTAATTTCAAATCCGACATTTTGATAGGTAACAACTGTCTTCTTTTTTTATAAGTTTTTCCAGTATTCTTTTTTACTTTTAACGATTTTGTGACTGCAGTGAAATCAAAAGGAATTTCTATTTAAAAAGTACTCTGTGAGTTAAAATTGTGCTACATATTTTAACATCCCTATTGGGTATTGGGGAAAAGTGAACAGTGAATCATCTACTGGTTCTGTTATATTTGACATGTCTATGTTATTAATTTGATTTCCATATACAGGTTTTTTCTATAATGGAAGACGAGGAATATAAAAAACTCCCTATAGAGGAGAAATGTGTGCATAAATTATGGAAGGCAAGAGTTAATGGATATGAAGAAGTCACAAAGCTTTTTAGACAAATCGATGATGAAAAATCTCCAGAATTTAGTAAATATCTTGGATTGGTAAAAAAATTTGTAACAGACAGCAATGCAATGGGCCAAGAAAAAGGTTTGGAAGCTACATTGGCATATGTCGAGAACTATGCTTTAGCTGGTAAAACTGTATCAGAGGTTATGTCGGGAGTTGTAGCAAAATGCATCGCGGCTCCAAAAGCTAGGACGAGAGAACTGGCATTACAAGTTACACTGATGTATATTGAAATAGAGAAATATGAAGCTGTGCAAGAAGAATTGATCAGAGGAATGGAACAGAAGAATCCAAAAATTGTCACAGCTTGTATCAATGCATGTACAGTTGCCCTGAGAGAATTTGGTTCTAAAGTAATCAGTGTAAAACCATTATTGAAAAAAATTAGTACCCTATTTGCAGACAGAGATAAAGGAGTTAGAGATGAAGCCAGGCATATGGTTGTAGAAATGTATAGATGGATTGGTGCCGCTTTAAGGTATGGTTTTATCAACAGTTAAATAATATCATTTTACATTTTCCATACTTTTAATTAGAAGTGAAATATACTCATTTTTATTTGATTTTGGAATTAATTAAAGAATGATATTCACACACGACAGAGGATAATCTTTAGTTTATTATTAATTTAGGAAATTTGTATTTCAATTTGATATTCAGTTGTAATATTGATGACTAACCACAGTAAATGAAATAAAAAATATAAATGTTTAGTCTTTTTATGATTTGTATATAATATATAAATATATTTAGAAGATTTGATTTCTAAATAGTAATATACTATACTATATCAATAAAAAAATATTGAGATTTAGAAAAGTAGTCGTCTATTCTAGTGTTAATGAATTTCAATTTTAACGCTATACATTTTGTTCTATTTGTCTTTTAATATCTTACTAAAAATGAATTTGAGGGAGATTTACCATTAAAAATGGTAATAGTATAAATCGTTTTCTCTTGATGTGAATTTGAGATATACTGTTACTATCACTATATACTAAAAGTTAATATTTAATACAGTACCTCCTGGATAGAATAATTGGTATTTTTTAGACCACAATTACAAGCAGCCAATCTCCAGCCAGTGCAAATTACAGAACTTGAAACAGAATTCTCAAAAATAGAGGGACAAAAAGCATCACCTACAAGATACATTAGATCTCAGCAAGAAAAGCAGGCCAAAATTGCTGCGGAAACTGTTCAGGACAATGGTAATTAAAAAATCATGTTTATTCCAATGAAACTAAAAAATTTTAGATGAAAGGAAGATAATAAATTATATCATACGTTTGTATGATAATTCAATATATGACATCATATATGTCTAAATATGTAATTATGATCACTTAGATTTAATTTTTTGATTCACTGACTTGAACAAAGGTTTATGTAGGTAATTGTTATAAATATATTACGTTGCATAGGAGAGGAAGATGTGGAAGAGGATGAGGTGCCTCAAGAAATCGACCCTTATGAACTTGCCGCACCTGTTGATATTTTATCAAAATTACCAAAAGATTTTTGTGAAAAGCTTGAAGCTAAAAAGTGGCAGGAACGAAAGGAGGTTCTAGAAATATTAGAAAATTTGTTGAAAACACCAAAACTCGAAAACGGTGATTACGGAGACGTAGTCAGAGCTTTGAAAAAGGTTAAAAACTTCAAAATTTGTTTTGTGTTTGTAATATTTTTAACACATTTTTCAGATCGTTCAAAAAGACTCCAATGTTGTATGTGTAGCTCTAGCCGGGCGGTGTATAGCCAGCCTTGCCACCGGTTTAAAGAAGAGGTTCCAAACTTATGCAGGTTTTTGCGTACCAGCTTTATTAGAAAAGTTTAAAGAGAAAAAGCAGAATGTTGTTACTGCCCTAAGAGATGCCATCGATGCAGTTTATCTCACAGTAATTAATTTTTATAATAAACGTAATGCTAATATCAATGCTTTAATGAAATTCATTAGAAAGCGTTTGTGACCGACAAGTTGTCCTTGTCATGCCTATATAATCTGCCTACAGAGTCTAAAAAGTCAGCGATCAACAGTTTGTTTAATGACAAATAATTCGCATAAAAAAGTGGTTACCCAAGTATGGGAAAATGAAGTAATTTTGTTTTTTTTTCTTTTACAATTAGCTTTCTTTCATAAATGGAGAATGTCTGAACACGACCGGGCCATACAAGGGTAGCTTCTTTGGAATTAGATCAAGTTACAGTTTCAATAGATATGTCAATGAATTTTAGTATGGTTTTTTTTTGGGGGTTGCTAACGATAAAGACGGCCTTATTTTGCTCTTAAAACAAAATAATCGTTTTGTTTCTTTACCACATTTTTTTTTTTTGTCAATAGAAATTTTGAGAGAACCCAGGTGTTCTATGAAATGTTACTTTATTTGCAGTAAAAGAAGTGTGCATGTTGCTTGTTACTCAAATACATCGTTCCCAGAGAAAAATCAGGGTTTATATTCGGGAATTATCAGGGAATTTTATAGATCTGGTAATGTCGGGGAAATATCAGGGAATTTCTTCAAGTTTCGTAGAATTTTTTAAAATTCAATTGTAACCTGTCTGTAAACTGAATGTTAACGTAGCGAAAAGTCAATTTATTACTACGGCAATAAGAGCCTACAGATATCTTTTAAATTTCCCCCATTTCTCGAAACGGTAGAAAAAAGTACATAGTTTAGATGTCACAGGTTCTATTTTTGAGAAAAGTTAAATGGTGAAAACTGCATCTGGATATATTCATTTGTTTTTCAATTTTGGCCATTTTTTGTCTTTTTTTGTAAAAGTATAGTTGAGGAAATGAAACACTAAACCTCCGAAATCTGTGCAGAAAGATGGATCGTGATGCGGTTTTTTGCATTCGATTCGTTAGAGCGTCCAGAAAGTATGTGATCAATGGGAAATGAAAATTGCATGGGTGCATAAGAGAAATGCATTCTTAAAATTTCATCTCGAAGAGTTAAAATATGAAAAATTTATAACTTGGAATATTTATTGACAGAAATGAGTTCAATTTTGCTACTGGGGGGTTTTTGGGGTCGCTGAACACGAATATTACGACAGCAACGGTCTCCGAGGTACCTAGTGCCTAGGGTGGCCGGGTTTCACGTCGTCTCTTGGAGTTTTATGGAAATTCGTTATAAACTTAGCCGAAACTCATTACCTCGGGATTTTTGAAGTTGCTCAACACGAATATCACGTCGGCAATGGTCTCCGAGGTACCTAGTGCCCAGGGTGGCCGGTTTCCAGGTCGTCTCCTGGAGTTTTGTGGAAATTCGTTATAACTTAGCCGAAATTCATTACCTCGGGGTTTTTGATGTTGCTCAACACGAATATCACGACGACAACGGTTGTACCGAGAAACAATCGATTTATAAAAAAAATTTTCGGTTTTTATAACTAAAATTTTTTTCATTTACATCATTTAATAGGAATCTTATGCAGCTAACATATTTTTTTTTAGATGTTTTAGCTACATGCAATAAGTATATATATTTTTATAGTAAGTAAAGTAACGTTTTAGACTTGTGTTTTCTGAAAATCTATTTTAACAAAAAAATATTCTGGTGATCTCTAAGTTTTTATAAAAAATTGTGATGGCTATATGATGGTTCACTTTAAAATGGGTAACTTACTGAAGAGGATGACCATTAAATTTGGGTCATTTTCTATTTTCAAAAATTAATTCGGCGATCACTTACGGTCACTGACTGGTTATTTCGGTTGTTTTTGGTAAATGGCTTATATTTATCTTAAATAATATATTTTTATGCCCGTAACTTTTTAAAACAAAACTGTACTAAGGTAACTTGATTTAAATTGGTTTATTTCCATCCAAACACTGTATTTAAATTTGTTTTACCCCAACTCGTTTTTTTTTTTTTACTTTTCAGCTCAAATAAAACTGAAAATAAAAGCTTTGTCTATCTATATATTTTTGATTTAAAAACTGTCTCTATTTATGTTTTTTGATGTGTGACTTTCATTTCTACACTTTCTTCTTATTAATTCGTTATCGTACTAACTCGATTTTTAGACCACTTTTGAAACTATCCTGGAAGACGTACTGGAAGCCCTGAATAACAAAAACCCTTCCGTCAAAATCGAAACGTCCCTCTTTTTGGCACGAGCTTTTACTAAAACATCACCGGCTACAATGAACAAAAAATTATTGAAAGCTATAACTGCAGTGCTTACAAAGACAATCAATGAGTCAGGTACAATCAGCTGTGTTTGTTGAAATTAGTAATTTAATAAAACGAGTAATTAATATACTTACTTTTATTTTTTAGACCCTGCTGTAAGAGAGTCTTCAGCCGAAGCCATAGGAACATTGATGAAATTAGTTGGAGAGAAGGCTATTGGACCGTTTTTGGTAGAGTTAGAAAAAGATAACTTAAAAATGTCGAAGATTAAAGAGAATTGCGAAAAAGCCGTAATCACTGTAAAAATACCCGGAGCAAAGAAGGAGAGACCTACAACTGCCCCTGCTAAAGTCGCACAGGTCAAGACTGTCAACACAAGGGCAGGTGCGAAAAAAGCGGCAGGTAATAAACAACAAAAATCGATGTTACATTCTTTAATTTTGAGCTTGTTACTTTTTTATTTATATCGGGGTGAAAATTTGTTTTTATTTTATTTTATTTATTAATCCTTTCGTTTGCTTTTTTCCTAAAACATGTAGAAAATGCGAATGCGGCAATTAAAAGGAAACCTGAAATTTCCTCAGGATCTGCGACAGTGGTAAGATCCAAGGGGGGGAAAGGTGGTGCAAAGGCCGCTATACAAAATATAGAAAGGGAACTTTCCGAGGAGGACGTTGATGAGATTATTTCCGGAATGCTGAACGCAAGTATCGTGGGAGAGATAGCAAGTGCGAACTGGAAAAGCAGGTAGATGTTTATTTTTTAATTAGCGTAAATTAAAAATTAAAGTTACGATTCGTAATTATCAGACTGGCGGCAACCGAGCAGATCATAACAGAAATTCAAACGTTAGACTCAAAATCTGTGCCGACACAAGCTCTAGTAAAGTTCATTGGGAAGAAACCGGGATTGAAAGATACAAATTTTCAAGTGCTCAAGGCCAAGTTAGACATAGTCAAATACCTAGCGGAAAACTGTACGTTTTCTATTACAACGGCGAACTGTTGTGTTACTGAGATATCGGAAAAGTTTTCCGATTCGAAAAATGGCGGCACTGTGGCAGAAACGTTAACGGCGATAGCCGAGGCTACAACTTTTGGTCAGATATCTGGGATGGTTTTAGATTTTGCTTTCACCCAAAAGAGCCCTAAGGTGCAACAAGAAGCCTTGCTTTGGCTGTCCGGAGCCATGAAAGAATTTGGTTTTTCGTAAGTACAATTACTAATGAAGTTTTCCTACAGGTGTAATGTGTCTATAATGAAGAAGTTTTCCTGCTAAATTGAAGGTTTTCTTATACAGGGTGATTTATTACAGCCAGGCAATATTTTAAAAGTTAGTGTACTGGGAATTTTAGAATATTTTCCAGATATTAGTAAATATTGGTTTAAAGAAATTATTTTGCCTAATACCACATAAAATATTAAATGGGTTTCTAGTTATCAAAATTTTTAGATAATATGTTATTAATTGGTATTTCAGGTATACAGGGTGATTCAGTTAGAAAAATGAGTATAATACGATGGCGTGATTAAAAAAATATTTAAATGCATATTTAAGCTGAAAAAAAATATTTTCAAATCATTATTTAACCCCCTTTTCAGGCTGTTACTGACCGGCTGACGTCAGCCGTCATTCACAGTATTACGCGTGGCTATGATATGAACAAGGCTTCCTAGATGCAACGTTGCCATATTTATATATTTTCGCTCATATAAAGACAATAAATAAATGGTTTGCTCACGTCAGCCAATAATAATTTAAAATTCTATAAATTATTTTTTATAATTATGCTATCAACATATTAAATTGTTATTGTTGCCCAGCAAGAACCTCGAGGAGGTCTGAGCGTGCCTTGCCAAAAATCAGTTTTTATTAACATCGTAATGTTAATTTTTTAATTTGCTATAAGCCTTCGGGCCCAATTAAACGATCGCCATATACTCCTGCCCATACATTGACACCGAATCTGCTCTGAAAGCTAAACCGATGAGTAGTGTGCAGGTTTTCATCTAACCAAATGTGACTATTATGGCTGCAAAGAAATTAGCTCTGTTTCACTTTAAATAAAATTTAATATTGAAGTTACAAAACACCAAGAGTTCAAATAATTTAAATTTCATTTCATAACCATTTCAATTTCATTATAGAAATAATGATATAAAAAACCAACACTCTCTAGATAAATTATAAAGAGAGTGTGAAAAGTATGTGGTATTTAAATATTCCATAAAAACAATTGGACAGAGACAAATTCTGGCATAATAAACAACTCGGTACGTGTTTCCGACCTAGGCTAACCTGTCCAGGACACTAACCTTCTAACCCACTTTTGACTTGCACATGCACTATATGACTAGAACTCGAACAAGACGAAACAAACATTTTTGTCTATACGTGATAAATAAATATTTTACCTTAAATATTGTGAAAACAATTGTTATTTATTCATTAATGTTGATGCTAAAACAACAAATGAATAGGGATGATTGTTTTAGAATGTACGGTTATTACAATTTATCATTTTTAATATTAACGTTTTCACGTTTTATAGTTTATTATGTTAAATAATACACAGTTCAATTGCATTCCTTCAATTACTGATGAGATCTCTGGTGGAGAACATAGGAATCATTGGAATTATTGATCTTACCTAAAAAATTGGTGCAGAAATCATTGATTTGAGATGAATAAAAAAATTTTCAGTATCATTTGTTTTATAAATATTTAAAAGTACAACTTTTATAAACTTTTAACTCCCTGTATCTAAAAATTAGTTGCTCCTTCATTTTAGACCCATTTAAGACATTTAAGAACTTTATTCTCAGTAACCTTTTTTTTTCAGTAATTTAAATGTTAAATCATTAATTGATAATTCAAAAAAGGCATTAGCATCTACCAATCCAGGTGTACGACAGGCAGCTATCACATTATTGGGAACGATGTACCTTTACATGGGTGCCACATTAAACGTATTTTTCGAAAATGAGAAACCCGCTTTACGCGATCAAATTAACGCTGAATGCGACAAATATGAAGGCGAAAAACCTCCACCTCCAACAAGGGGTATTAGTATAATTTTAAATTTCGTTGAAATACATTATATCTTCTTTACTTGTAGGCGTTATAAAATCGGCGAGTTCAAACAGCCTCGATGCTGTAGAGGATGACGATGCACAGGAACAAGAAACTGTAAATGTGCAAGATCTAGTCCCAAGGGTTGATATAAGCAATCAAATAACCGAAGCCATTTTGAATGATCTCGCTGATAAGAACTGGAAAGTGCGGAATGAGGTTCTGACGAAAATCAGCACGATAGTGCAAGATGCTAAATTTATAAAGCCCAACTTGGGTGACTTACCGCAGGCCTTAGCCGTACGACTGACGGATAGTAACGTTAAAATAGCTCAATCTGCACTCAACCTCTGTGAATTGATCACTAAGGCGATGGGGCCACCGTGTAAACAGTACATAAAAGTATTTTTCCCGGGAATGTTGCAAGGTAATTTAAGACATGTGAGATTGCTTTTAAGCCAGTTGTTTTAATTTAAAGTGGTCTTCATGAAACGGGTTGTTTAGTGTTTGAAGGTGTTATTTCTGCGATTGTTTTCAGGTCTCGGAGATAGTAAAAGCAGTACGCGTGCTTGTGCATTAAATACCATTAATTCATTTGCTGAACAGTGCGGTTACAAAGAATTCTTTGAAAATGAGATGATAGGCGACGCACTGAAATCGGGATCGCCAACTCTTAGAATCGAGCTTTGGAATTGGTTGGCTGAAAACGTACCAAAAAGTAAGTAACATTCTGTACCGATTTAATTTCGTGAAAGATGAATGTGATATAATACTGAATTATTGAAATAACATAAAAAGCGTTTTTGTAATTTGCAGTACCTCCAAAAAGTATTCCCAAAGACGAGCTCGTCGTCTGTATGCCTCACTTGTATAGCAACTTAGAAGACAGGAACGCAGATGTGCGAAAAAATGCTCAGGAAGCGATCTTAGGTATTATGATCCACTTGGGGTACGACAGTATGGTTAAGCAGACTGAAAAACTCAAGCCCGGTTCCAAAACTGTCATAATGGCTGCTCTAGAGAAAGTTCGTCCTAATCTACCAGCGAAACCGTTGCCTAAGAACAAATCACCACCGGAAAAAGAGGATAAAGGCGTACGGGGTACTAAACCCGCTGCAAACTCGAAAAATGCCGTTAAACCAAAGGTACTGGAACTCTTATCTCCCATCCTTTTATGATAGAGACAAAAATCGAAACAAACCATAACTGATTTATTTTTTCAGGGAAATCTTGCTTCTAAATCAGCTCCACCTGCCAGCAGAAAGAAGGAAGAAGATATAGACACATCTCCGTTACTAGTTGTAAATAACTTGAAACACCAAAGAACTATCGACGAATCGAAATTGAAAGTGCTCAAGTGGAACTTTACTCAGCCAAGAGAAGAATTTGTGGATCTCTTAAAGGATCAAATGTCTTCCGCAAATGTAAATAAAACTTTAATGGGCAACATGTTCCACATAGACTTTAGGTATGTATCATTTTCGTCAAATGTCGCCGGTTCACGTTGATGACATGTTTTTTTTTTTAGATATCACATAAAAGCAATAGAATCTCTAAACGACGACTTATCAGAAAACGGACACGCTTTGATGTCGAATTTAGATCTCATATTGAAGTGGTTGACTTTGCGTTTCTTTGATACCAATCCTTCAGTGCTGTTGAAGGGACTTGAGTATCTGCATTCTGTGTTTAATATGCTCATAGAAACTGAATATCACATGCTGGAAAATGAGGCGTCTTCATTTATACCGTACTTAGTATTGAAGGTAAGAGCAGAATTGTTCAGAAAAACTTAAAAGATTCGTAAATTACAAAAGAGTTTCAAGTTCAAACCTGAAATATTGTCTAAATTTATGACTTTATTTCTTCACGGGTGACATTATGAAAGCGTAGAATATATTTGTTTTGTTTAGCAAATTTCAAGTTCAGTGTCGAAAATCCGAGATCAAATTCAAAATTGTAAGCTTTACTTGGAATTTCAAGTTTGAAATTAAGATGTTTAATTTGACCTTTAACTGATGAGTTCCATTTTATAATTTCAGTTCATTTTTAATCTTTTTTGGGGTATTTCACATGAAGCGGACAGCGAAAAAAAAGTGACGTTCTGAAATTTGTTCATATTCGGCTTAATTGTACTTCTAGTAGGTATGAATGTGAACAAACAACTTTTTTATTTGAGCATGAAATTTAGAGTTGATATTTGAAATCTCTGGTGCAAATTTGAAATTTTCAATTTAATTTAAGATATTTTGTACTGGAATTGGGAATTAAATATAAATAAATGAAAGATTCATGAGCATTTTACTAGTTTTGTACTAAATTGTCTTTTTTTATAGAATTTATTACACAGTTTGTCTAAATATGAATTAATGCATAAATAACAGACTTTCCCCCATTCTAAAGCAGATTTTCTATAAAATGGAGTTAGTTTGAAGCTCAAACTACTTTTTGGTGTAAAGATATTTGTAATTTACGATGTTCAAAAGCAGCAAATTACAAATTTCTTTACAACAAAATGTAATTTGAGCTTCAAACTAACTTCATTTTATAGAAAATCTGCATTAGAATGGAGGAAAGTCTGTTGTTTGTGCATTAATTCATATTTAGACAAACTGTGTAATAAAATATATATAAAAATGTATCGCTAGTTGCCTAATTGCTATAGAGCCCTTTTAAATAAATGAGATTTTCTTCAATACTAATGAATTTAAATTGTCTGAGGTTTATCTAAAATAAAATTTATATAGTTCTTTACGAATTACATCTCCACTGGTTGTAGATTGGAGACCCCAAGGATTCAGTTCGAAATGGAGTTAAAGCCCTATTAAACCAAATAAGCAGAGTCTATCCGGTCAGCAAATTATTCACTTACGTTATGGAAGGCGTAAAATCAAAAAATGCCAGGCAAAGAGCAGAGTGCCTCGAAGTTATGGGTTCCATTATTGAAGATTATGGTAAACAATTTTTTTAAATTAACGCGAAAAATTGTCCTTAATGTTATCCTTGTACAGGTATATCTGTATGCATGCCTTCTCCCGGAGCTTGCTTAAAAGAAGTGGCGAAGCAAATATCAGATCGTGACAATTCCGTTAGAAGCGCAGCCTTGAACTGTGTGGTTCAGGCTTACAACATTGTAGGGGAGAAAGTGTACAAGATGGTCGGGAATGTACGTTTTATTCATCACGTTTTCGTTGCCGATACTTAACGAGTTTTTTAATTGTTTAGATATCCGATAAAGATATGTCTCTGTTGGAGGAGAGAATCAAGAGATCAAGCCGAAAAACTGTCTCGAAGCCTAAGCCTGAATTTAATTCCACAATAACCATGACGGCACCTATTTCACCGCAGAAGGAAAATTCGTCTCCTAACAGGAGCAGTTACAGTAATCACAGCAACAGCGATCAACAGGAGCAGCCTCAAGAAGATGACTTGGAGGAAGAGGAGAGTCTGCCTCCAGTAACGTAAGCGTGTACAAAATTTTAGGAAGTATCTTAGTAAGCGTTTCTAAATTGTACATAGGTTACCTCCTCAGATAATACAGGAGCCTCCGAAGGAAGTGGAAGGACCTTTCAAATTGGATCCAGTGTTTATGCAGGAGTTGGACAATATTAAATCGCAATACAATAAACCGAAATTGCTGGAATTCGATTTAGATTTCTTGAAGGACGATGTCAAAATTCCATCGATATCCGATGCAAAAGCGAAGTATGTAAATCACAAAATAGTCATTTGTTGGTGGATTGCAGTACTAAATATTTGTTTGCAGGACTACCGCAGTTACTGCCCCCAAACCGATAGTGTTTAGTGAGGCTATGTCTAGATTAAGCATGAACGTACACAAAATGCCCGTTCCAAGAGCCCTGGATCCCACTCTTGAAAGGCTCATCAAACAGATGGCCTCCCAACATGTTACTACGGCTCTGGTGGTGAGTGATGCACTTTGCTTATACTGAGTGATTCGATAATTTTTTATCAAACTTTAGGAACTGGTAGATTTTCAAAAATAAGGGCACGGGATGCATATAAATTAATTTCGAAAATGGGGTTGTAATTTTAAGGGGTTATAGCTGATACCAAAATAATGTTTCACAAAAAACCTCTCTAATGAATGTTTTGTAAGAATACATATATTTACAATTTTTGAAGTTAATGAAATGTCTGAAGCCGGTTCTGTAATATTCATACATGCTCGTCCCTTTTTAATATTGTAATAATCACTTTGGTTTGAATTTTTTGTGTTAATTTAATTTGTGAGCCTATTAACTTATTGATTTTTTAAGTAGTATTTATACATTTTTGCTAGAATGATTTTAATCTACGGGGAACGTTGTCAAATTGCTGAATGAGCATCTCGGTGCTAGGCAGACCTCAACTTGAAAAATTGTGAAAAAATGAGTTTTTTGCATGTCTGTGTTTGGATATTTCTAATAGCTGATGTGATGGAGTAATTCTGTCAGATTCGGATTTACATGTCAAAAATCTTCGGGAAAGTATAGAGAAAGTCAGTAGCATTTTTTCGGTCTATATATTTGATTAATAAAAATTTTCCAAATTAAGTACATATTACAAATCTACCTGTTTAGTCCAGTCATTATAGCTTTTTTTCGAGGAAAAAAATACTATTGGAAAGAGTGACCGCAAAAATCGCCCGTTTTCTCACAATTCGCAGAGAACTAAAGAAAATAGATAAAAATATTTTTGGTCTCAAATTACTCGTAAAAAATTAAGATGAGTATAGCTTTTAGTTTTTTGAAAATTTTCAAAAATCACCCCTATTTAGAGGTTGAAAAGACGCCCAAAATGAAGAATTGAACCAATAAATATATAAAACTATTAGCATGGGAATTTTTCCATCAAATGATTCTTGATACAAAGAAAGATTTATTCTCATGACTGAAATAAGCATGTTGAATTAGAAAATCCACCCTTAAGCGCGCTCAGGGAGTGGAATCATCCCCAAAAATAGAGAATATCGGAAATAATTGTAAAAATTCCAAAAAAAATATATTAAGATAATTCACATGCTAATAGCTTTTATATCAATTGGTAATATTCAAATTCTTCATTTTTGGCATTTTTTTCAACCCCTAAGTAGGGGTGATTTTTTAAATTTTCAAAATACTAAAAGCTATGCACATTTCAGTTTTTTACAAGTAATTTGCAACGAAAAACATATTTTTATGTATTTTTTAAAATTCTTCGCGAATTGTGAAAAAACAGGCGATTTGCGGTCACTCTTTCTCTGCAGAATATTGTTTGGAAACGTGTTATAAACAAAATCAAAAAATCAACTCGAGACTAGTTGGGAAACTTTATTTAAACAATGGTCAAAGTTATGGAAAAGCATAAAAAAAACTGTTATTCATAGCGAAAAAAGGTTTATAAAAAAAAGGTAGGTATTAAATACACCTGTAAAATGAGACAAGTCCAATTAAATTCTGATAATTTTTTTATGTGCGAGAGGTCAAAAATGGTCGAAAATTCTTCAAAAATCCTGAATTACAAGTGTCTGCGATGAAAATTGCATTAATTATAAGCAATTGAAAAATACGGCCATTTTCGACCATTTTTAAGCTCGCGCATAAACAAATTATCGTAATTTAATCGGACTTGTCTCATTTTACAGGTTTATTTAACACCTATCTTTTTTATATAAACCTTTTTTCGCTATGAATAATAGTTTTTTTACGTGAGTCAAAAAACCACTTTCCCATAACTTTGACCATAAATAAACCATTGACCATCAAATAGTTTCCCAAGGAGTCTCGAGTTGATTTTTAGATATTTTGTTTATAACATGTTTCCAAAAATATTCCGCAGAGAAACTTCTAATATTTTTTCCCGAAACAGGCTGTTTCATGTCTATAATGACTAGACTAGTTCCTAAAGCTTAATAAAAAAAGAATCGTACCATCTTGTATAATAAAGTTCCCACAATTCTGCTAATTCTTACCTGTATGAATAAATAAACAATTCTTATTAAGGCTATGGCTCAGCTACAAGAAATTATTCCACAGCCTAGAGGAAATTCTCTTGCCGAATACGAGGATGACTTTATGAATTCTCTTATTACTCAACTCAAATACTTACAAACCCAAGATCCAACCCTGGATGGTACCGTATCTAAGGTCTATAGGAATCTACTAACCCTAATGGATACTGTGAGTATTAGCCGTTCCGCGAGATAGATGTTTATTAGGAACGTGCGAAATTAAAATGCCGATTTAGAAAGTCACTATTAAATAATATTTGTGGAAAGTTATTTTTTCACACACTTATAATTTTAATTTTTATAGTTTTACCACAACAAAACGCTTGGCAACCACGTTTCGGTGGCCGTTATTAAAAATTTGATGAATGAAATGATTTCTTTGCTGGTCGAGGAAAAACTCGTTGGTGTTCCTAATGGGGATGCTTATGTGAGAGTGATCAATTTACTTTGCGTGAAGATTATTGAGAAATCTGATCATACCAACACAATTTGGTGAGTAATGACGAGTGCCAGACGGAAGAATGAACGTTGAATGAAGAATGTTATAATCGCGATGGGTATATTTACATTTTATTTGTGTAAAATTATTTAAATTTGCTGTTTTTGAAACATACTTTTAATAATCGGGTAGAACTCGATTTTTCATTCGAGTTCTCCCAATTATTCTACGACATTTTTCAGTGCTTTGGTTAAACTCATAAACGAATGCATAACTAACGACAGTTCTCCACGACACGTCGATTTGGTCATGAAATGCCTATGGAGGGTTATTAAGTTGATGCCAAATTGGGGCGACGATATTGATTACGATTCGGTCTTGTTGGAAGTTCATTACTTCCTTAAGAAGTTTCCCTCGTCGTGGTGGAAATCTAAGGAGGTTGATACTCCATTGAGGACTGTAAAGACTATTCTACATTCGAGCGTTAAGATAAAAGCAGGAACAATAATGTTACATTTGGGAAAGATTCCTAACACCAGCGAGTCAGAGGTTGAGTCATACATTCTAAGAATTCTCAAGGTATGTTGTAAACTTAATGTTGTAGGTGATCTTTAGAAATTATTTTTTCTTTTCATTACTAAAAAATATTTTAAATTTATAATAATTCATAATATGCAAATTTTTTATTCAATTTTTAAAAAACGTCCATTGTAATGTGCGTTTGAAGTTATTATCGTAATGTAATTGCTATTATAGATACATTTTAAGTCAACAAAGTTATCGAGTGAGATTACATCACCAGTATTTATGTCCTTTAATTATTTATAATGTGTATTGATTTTTGTCAGAGTTTAAAAATAGCAGAAGTCCACCAATTACCCCACCCTAAACCCGAGCTACAACGAAGATCGCTCTCTAGAGCAAATCACAACATGTTGACTGACATTTTCCAAAAAATTGGTAGCAAGGATGAAACTAAGGAAGGACTGAATTTATTGTACGAATTTATGCAGCAGCATCCGGAGGCAGACATAGAGCCCTTCTTGAAGAAGTCCAGCAAATTCTTTCAAGATTATATCAGGAATGGACTGAAAGAAATCGAAGATTCTAGAAAAACTGCAAAATCAACCATCGTTGGTGAGTCCTTTTACGTTGCTTTTTTCATGTAGAACTTATAATTTAAAGTTTATTAGTTATCGTTTTTGTTAATTAACTGAAATGTTTGTTTTACGCTTCAGAGAAAGTGGGCGATCGAGCTCAAGAAAATGAATATGCTTCACTGGCCACTGATCGAGAATCCGGTAAAGGTCCGGAATACTGGAAGCAGAAACTGTACATGTGGAATGATATGTTTGAAAACGTTAAAACGGGAAAGACAACTACATCTACCGAATAAATTTCAAATACGAATATAACCATTTATATAAAACGGTGCATATGTGCAAATTCCCTTTGTTACTGTTCCTTGAACTTTGCACAAATTGAACCGTTTCCGCAGAAAATATACACTTAACGGACTAATTAATTAGCTTATTAACGTTGTAACTTCCCCGACCACTTTGTGATAGTTCAAATATGTAGCATTTTAAAATTACAATGACTTAATTTATAGTAATTGTACACTTTTCATTTTATTTATTGTCATATTTTTATGTGTAATCATATTTATTGAATGTGCCTGTTTTACTTTACTTTTTTTTAGACTGTAAGAAAATGAGGTATATTTTTTACTGTTATTTGTAGTAGTTCACTAGTATCTAATAATAAACTATAATTGAATTCTGAACTTTACGCGGTTTATTCAGTTTTTGAGGGTTGAATGCGTCACATAACACAGAAAAATGAAATCAGTTTTGGAGGGTTTTGGAACAGTAGTTTCCAGAAGGTGGAAAATGACGCATACAAGATACTGCAGGTTTTATACTTGATTTTACGTTATTTTTGGCAATTATTCCTTATCTGCTTTGAAGAAAGTTTAAATGGCAGTTTATTTTCAATAGCACTTCAGAAATTGGTATCATTTTATTTTTCTTGGAGGAAAAGCAAATATAGGGTGGGCCACCAGTAACGCCTCGGTCGCTAAGGACCATTTGACTGCATTTTTGAAAGTACCATAAAAAAATAGGTGAATTTTATTAAAGGTTCTGCATACCTAGGACTTACAGCAGGGGTCGGCAAGTAATTTTAGATGCGGTCCGGATACTTTTGAAAATTTTTAACGAGGTCCAGAAAAAAATTCATATTTCTTATTTTTTTATTTTAATTTGGACTCAAATTTAATCTGCTTACTAATTAAGAACTCAAAACACTCACACAATTGTAAAATACTAGAAAAAATTATAAGATTGGCACTTAAACGTAAAAAAAACATTTTTTAAATAATTTGAGTAATTTATACTTTCAAAAAATTTTTGGCGGTCCAGTATTTTACCTTCCACGGTCCGGACCTGGACCGTGGTCCGCCAGTTGCCGACCCTTGACTTACAGTTTGTGAAATATTCAATTTTAGTGAAAATGCAGGTTTAGCGTAGAAATTTAATATTTGCAATAAAAAAATAATTTTATGGAAGCAGCTTTGGAGTGTATTTTAGATCCTTTACCTATATTTGTTGTCACTTAGTATTCAAAAAACTGCTGAATACTTCTCTCAACTTAAAACAGCAATAACTTGATTATTTTAAATGGGACACCCAGTATATTTTTACTTTTGGAGTTAGGAAATTTAAAACTTTCAAACTGTATAGGTTCCCTATACCTATCTCTAATGGTCTTAGAGATATTTGTGCCGTTTCATTTTTTTATCGAATTTTTTTGTAGGATGTATCCACGTGTTGTTATCGAGGCTTTTATTGAATTGGTTTATTGTCGAACTTTTTTGACACTTTCATGTCAGGTGCCAAAAATACTTTTTGCATTAGTTCGCATATTTATATTTTACATTTCCCACAGACAAATAAGTACATATATAAAGTAATTTAAATTAATTTTGTTTATTTTAAGCCACGGAGTACAAAAGAATAGCGTTTATGTGTTGGGTAACAAACTTACATAACTTTTGGGATTAAAAAAAGTACTTAAGTCCCTCAATTAAAGTATTCTTTGTGTACCTTAAACCACAAAAATTGAAAATATTGTTATTAATTATATTTTTCATTTACAAATGAATATAAAATGACATTTTATAAAAGTTATTTGTCATTACCCTTCTTCTCAACTGTTTCTTCTTCAGAACTTTCATTGCTGGTATCCTCTCCCTCATCTTCTTCATCATCAGATTCTTCTTCGTCATAGTTGTCATCACCGCCATAATCATAACCACCTGCTCCATCATTATTATAATCATCATCGTCATCGTACAACGCCTGACCCTGTCTACCGAACTTATGGCTTCGAGCTAAAAAATTAAAATCAGGTTATAAATATGTATCTCATAAATGTATAAACTCATAAGCAATATATAAATATTCTTACTAGACATGCTAAGATCTTTAGTTTGCGAAGTCTCATAACTGCATTTGGGGCATGGTATAGCTTTATTCTTTTCATACTTGAAACCTTTTCGCCGGACATGATCCTCGCAGTAACAAGTCTTACATCTTAGGCATGAATATTGGCCTAACTTGTTACAAGACTGACCTAAAAATAAATTGGTAAATTAGAGGTTTACGTTATATAAATGGAAGACTTGCATTTGTAGTTTTCAGCTTCTAAAACTTGACAAGATGCTTGATGTTCAAATTGATCATCTTCACACAAAAAATTGTTACAAAATGAACATTTAAAAAGTCGACCTCCATGATCCCACACGGTGCGTTCACATTCTATGCACACGGCCTCTTGTAATGGGCATGTGCATGCATGGGACTGCAAGCATTTTCTGCCATGGCAAACCCAAGCTTCACAAAAATCGCATATAGCACCCTAAAATGGAAGTTAATAGTGACTTAAACTACTGCATACTATGCTGCAGGTGTAGTCAAGATTATTTTAAAATTAATAGATAAAAGTTTTAAAATATTTTTTCATTACAAACTCCTAAAAATGAATGTTTTGGCCACAATTTACTGATTTGTGGACCATGTACCGAGTATAATGACTCATCTGGATATTCTAGACTCGGCTAACACCATGACTAAATATCATAGATTCATCTGTTACAGAATCATTTTGCGAACTTGTTACGTAAATAGATAATTATTAATTATGGATACTTACTACCATACCCATCCCAGTGGTATAGGTACCTGGATGCCTTATAACACAATCGCCAGTTTTCAGCATACACTTCATTTTGCCACATTGGGCACATATAGGCAACCTTTGCACGCTCTGGCAAAAATAACAGAATGCTCTACTTTTCTGTTTGCTGGAAAGGAATCAATAATTATTGAATAAATTTCTTTACATATCAGAACATACAAACCGATGACATTTTTCGCATTCCATTGGCAAATTACAAGGATGTTCTGCCAGCTGAACATTTTCTTTTGCAGTTCTAATTTCTTTCTGTCGTAATTTTTGCTTCTCGGCTTTCTTTCGTTGACCTGTTTTCTTTTTAGGCATATTTATAATCTCTAAAGATTACTGATTATATCTATTTTTCAAACAATTCGAGATGTTAAAAATTACGAAAACTTCATCTACTCTTATTGCAACAAATAGTAAAAGAGAAAAGAGGTTAGTTTTAGAAATATGTAAAATTTTGATTTTGACAGTTGATTTGACAGTGGTTGCGTTCAGCATCAGCACGCAGTAGTGAACAATTGAAAATTGAACGGTTAGTTATCAATTTTGTATGTAGGTATTTGGTAAGAATTTAGGAGTTAGTAAGCGAGTGATCACTGATAGTTAATAAAATTATTTGTTCAGATCAGACAGATTAATGAGAAATTACTAAAAGCAAAGTTCATATGAACTTTGGTAAAAGTGTTCCGCGAGCGCTTTATGTGCTGAACACCCTCATTGTTGTTAAGGTTACGTTGTATGATACGTATAATTCTGTGACGTACATTCCGGGGTTGCCGATATAATAATTAACTATACCGGGTAGGAAAGTACCGATGGTCTATCTGAAGTTACGTGAGAGCGATAAAGTAAGCCATAGAAATCCATGCGATAGAGAAGGATGGCTATAATGAAGGCGTATCATAGTCACCGCCCGTTTCCACAAATAAGATCCACTTCTTATTTGTGGAAGGGCGAAATGGGCGGTGACTATTAGACGCCTTCACTATACCCATTCTTGTCTATCACATGGATTTCTATGGCTTACTTTATCGCTCTCACGTAACTTCAGATAGACCATCGGTACTTTCCTACCCGGTATGTACAGCAATAATTAACTATATTTACACCAAATTCAGCCATTAGGAAACATACGCACAAAAGCATATAATTTTAAGGCCGTTTTTTTTTTTCACCTAATAAATTTATTATTTACTAGTTAAATGTACAATAAAAAACATACACCCAAGAAAGTGACATAGCCCTCACCCCCTCCAGGTATGGAAACGGAATTTCCGAATACCCTGTACAAATCAAATAACTTTTTACATTTTAATTCTACCTATCAACAGTATCAACAGATCTTGATAAAACAGTAATTTTCACAAAATATATAATGTAATTTTTTTTCTGCAGACTGGATATTCAGTGAGCGCAAAATATTCGTTTTTATTATTTTTTTCTTAGGCTAATAACTGATTGTTTTTTTTTTATAAACAAATATAAATATGAAATATGTATAAGAATAAATTAAATTACATTTAACGAATAAACTGATTACCTTAGGCGATTTATCTACTTTTACCCACAAAACAGCTTTTACCTTTATTAGCACCGAGACTAGTGACCATTTTTGCTTAGTGCCCAATATTTTAGTACAACTAGGACTTTTGTCAAGAGAAAAATATACCTACTTCTTAAGCCCCGTTTGATAACGGTTTCTATGCGATTTTAAAATTTTAGTAATTAAAAAAAAAATAAAATGTTTCCCAAATATGAATGAGACATTTTAAAATTTGTTTGTACCTATTATAATGTGAACTATATTTTCAGAAATATATGTATAAAAATAGACTAATGTCCAGATTTTCCTTTTTTGCCAAGACATAGTAAATTGTCAAAAAAATAAATTTAAATCATGTCGATACACATGGCAAAAACCTTCCTAGAGGCATCTATGTTATAAGACAATACAAGATGCCAATAAATATAATTAGTGACAAAATTTAAAAAAAATTGCCTTCTTTTGTCTCAAATTTAAATTTTTATGAAGTAAATTTGGAACAAAATTTACTAAGCTTACGATTACATATGAAATTAAAACATTTCTTGCTTTTTCCAATTTTAACAAGACAATTTTGGTTTTAGTTGCTTACTTTGGAAATTGCCTTCTTTTTTAATTAGTATAAAGAAACATATTTACTCAGACTATATTGTAGATATATATACATATTTATTTTTAACTATATAAAGACAATTTTATAAATACCAAACAAAAATACAAGACAAAAAAATCATGTGACTAATTATATTAAAATATTTACCTATTTTACATCAACAAAGTTTATAATATGCTTGCTGAACAGTAATATAACATGAAAAGTATTATATGATGGCATAGTAAAGCAAAGTAATGCAAAAATATTGCCAGTATTTATCACAATTATTTAATATCAGAAATATAAAATATTTAAAAATTAAAGTGCATTTAAGGCATTTCAATTTGAAAGCAGAGTGTTTTTGGCCAGTCATTTACAATACACAGTAATATACACGTATCATGTTTCTAATTTATCTTTAACAATGGTCAACTTTTAGTTATCTTACCTTTACAAAGCAATTAAAACGATTTTAGTGATCGATAAGATTTTTATCACAATTTAAATTGGTTATTACTGATATAATAACGTAATTGTTTAAAAAATGATTAGATAAATAATTTATTGAATTAACGCTGATTCTTTGGTTCGGAAATTAAAACTTCCTCCACTTTCAAATTTTATTGAGCAATAAATTTGCATTAAATTAAACATGATTATGAAAAAGAATTTATCCCTTGTATGATTATGCTTACTTCACTTGAGTCTTTAAATGTTGCAGAAACTCATGATAAGAAAGAGCGTTCTCAACACGATCCTCAATTAACCGTTCCAAAAACAAAACTCTATTCGGACTATTGTCTCTTATCACTTGTATTGTAGCTGCAAATGGTTTGTCTTCATTTAAATAGTTAACAAAATTATGAAGTCTTTGATTTCTGGGGTTGTCTAAAACAGGAATTTCAAACATCTGGTCAGAAATGGTGTCGTAAGAGGGAACACCTAAGACTTCGTTTAAAAATTCTGATGAAACATTTGGTAGCACCATTATAACCATATGTTCACCCATGTCCAATAAAAATGCACCCTTATTATCTAAAGATCTGGCCGATAAATGCAGCCTAGGCGGCACAGAAACCTGTTCTTCCTCCGCGTTCAGAATAAGTTGCTGGTTTTCTAAATCATGAATCGGGTATAAATCAGGATATATCATTTGAATTAAAATGTATAAAGGCTTCGTTTTCATGTCGATCATCGCTTTAATCCTGTCATCCACCCTTGTGGTTGTACCAGTTCTAAAAGCGGTATGTTTAAGAAGTGCCGATATATACAGGGGTAGCAGTTTCAGGCAGTTGGGTGCTATTAATCCAGATATAGGAGTGCTCAAATTTTGAGACATCTTGTAACTGGTTAATATATCTATTGCTACGTTGATAAATGCCTCTCGGGCATCTGAAAGACTAGATTGCATCGATCGATCAACAGCCATTTTAGATAACAATCCCACGATGCACTGTTGGTCAGCAGAGTGAATTATGTCCTGCAAGGTAGAAGCAACAGGGAGGCACATAGTATGTACTCTTATTCTACGTTCACCTTTACTGGACGTGTACAATAAAGCCGCTTGGAAGCAAACCGTCTGCACATCAGACAGGCTCTCTTCTATAGCAACTTGCATACCAAAACCGGCATCCGGATTAATATTAGGCAGGGACAATAAGTCTGTGGATCGTACAAAGAAATTGCCATGAAAAGTATGGATGGATAATCCTCTTGTGCATCTTATTCTCATAACGGCCTCGAAACCTATTTTCCTTAATAGGTATCGTCGGAAACATCTTTCGAAACTCTCACAATCTACAGTCTTCGTTATTTTGAAAAGAGGAAAATGGTGAATGCATCCCCCACTAAACCTACTTATTCCGGATATCGTAGCTATATCAACATACGTAGAATTAACAACGAACAAGTCTACAGCTATCTGTTGGCCACTACACTCTAGAGCTAACCTTTTATAAAAGTCATTGGCAGGGTTTAAATGCGATACTTCCACCGATGCTCTTTGAGAAGGATCCTCTCTTGCAGTCAAAGCACCAGGTCCAATATTGGGAAGAGAAGCTTGGAAAACTGTTACTCTACCTCCTGTGGCTGTCATCATTCTATACGCTACTTGTAAAGCGGCACCTAAAGCGGAGTTGTTGTCAAAAGTACCGTTGTACCTCGTCGGTAATTGGGAAAGTAGTTCCGCAACTAATTCCATTTTGTCTTTTAAATTGACAAGCAAATTATCTGGTGTAGGAAGAAACACATCCTCAATGTCCAGTATAGTCATTTCATGGGGTCTGCTTAATCCTTCGGCGAATGAATAAAAGTGTAAGGCCGAATCATAAGCTAAAAACCCTATTTGAGTTCTAGCATCTCCTGGCAAATTTTTTAACTCCTCTAGTAAAATATTACAGACAGAATGTAAATAGCCACTTTCAATCGCCAACCGTGAAACATCTAATAGATATAGATACACAGCAGGCTGAGGTGGCCTCAGCATATATTCGGCAGGAGCGATGTATTCTATTGTACTCGACTTTATCTCGGGTCTTCTGGATGGGTCTCCGTAAGTTTTACTTACAGGGTCATACTGAAATTCTTCTGGCAATTCATTCACTCTATAGCACAAATTACATTTCCATCTTTTGCTGTCGACAAAAAATACAAATGGATTTATATAAGTACGGCATGCTCGACACCTAACTATAACGTTACACTGAATTACCGGCAAGTGACTTAGATCTCTAAAAGGATGTATTAATACACCTAACGGAAGCCTCGACTTTTGTAACAGAGAATTATTTTCAGGGATCTTCGCCATTGTACAGCGAAATATATCAGGACTGCAATTTGCTTGGTCTAGAGCTTCTTGTCCCAAGTGAATTCGAGGGGCTTTTTCTTTCATCTGCGGCAAAATGTTTGGAATTTGGAGTAAATCGAAATTTTCCATACCCCAAAATTTGTTAAATCCTGCCTGGGCAACTCCTTGGTATTGGTTTTGCAAGGGCTGTTGGGAATTGTAGTTGTTTTGAGGCTGAGTCAAATATGAATTCTGTGGCTGCGCATAAATATTTGATGGTTGTGGAGGCATTTGCTGTTGTTGAACAGGGATTTTATTCTGATAGGGTTGCTGAGCCTGTTGGAAGTTCTGCGGTGGCATATTCATGTTTGCTGCTGGTACTGGATATCTATTTGAATGTACGTTTGTTTTCTGTGTCGTTAAATTCTGTGATGTTGGGGGTCCGCTATTTTGACCCAGTTGAGGTTGATATACATTTGTTGGAGGAACATTAGGAGGTCTAAACTGATTGTTGTTTATGGGTAAATACTGAGGTGAAACATTAGTGGTGGAATTAAAATTTCGTATGTCGCCAGGAACATTCAAAGTACTTGGTTGAGAATATGGTCCCACGTTTGCATAGCTTTGTCCACTTTGGTTGGCTGTAAATGGAGAGACTTGAGGCGGACGATTTAGCGGATTCTGTTGAGTTGGTGGGTAAGATATTCCTGTCGTTAGATTTTTATTTTGAATAACTGGACCTTGTGGAGGAACTGAAGTGATTGGTTTTTGCGGAGGTGGATTCTGATAGGGTTGATTATATGAAACAGCCGGACTTGGAATAAACTGATTCGAATATATCCGTTGCTCCATAAAATTTGTTGTTTGGTACTGAGACGCAGAACTTACTTGGTTAGAACTACCAGAAGTAGTAGTTCGAGAAATAACCGGACCAGGCTGTATGGAACTTGTAACCATATTTATAGGTTTTTTTACACTCTCTGATGAACTGCTACTACTTGTTAGAGGCACATTCTCTAATTCTGCACTAGGTTGTGATATATTTTGTTTTGGCACTGTAATAGGTGAAAATGCTCCATTTTGTCTAAATCCTACCGGACTTTGAATGTTAGGTGTTGATGTACTAAATTTTGTGACTGTAGGCCCACCTTGACTTGTAATATCTAGTCCAGCGACTTTCTGTGTGATGGCCGTAATTGGGGAACGGGAAGGAGGCAACTGTGACGAGGGTATAGACCTGCTTGGTGGAAGTTGTGATGACGGTATGTGACCCAAACGAAGAGAAGGCGATGAACTTCTTGATGAATGTGCAGAATGGACTCCATTGATTAACTGTTGAACCTTATCTTTCCTATTCTCAAACTGTGGATCCATCCCATTTGATAAGCTTTGTTCAGGTTGTTGATGATACATTTTAAAACTAAAATAATAACAAGATTCAATAATTTGGCAGTAATATATTAGATTTGTATATCACTACTATGTAAATAATATCTTTAGTGTTTTATTAAACATACTGATAACTACTGAACAATACTATATTATTTACCTGTGACAATTAGATAACAAATATATAATTCAAGGTTGTAATTTAGTAGCAATTAAATTTTTTATTACAAAAATTTACGTTAATAGACAAGATGTGTATTTAGAAGTATAATTTATATTACTCTTGGATAAACAAATTATATTATAGTTCGATAACTCAAGCACTCTACGTCATGAAATGGTAGCAGCAAATTAGTAATTATAGATTAAATACATTTAGAAAATGAGTATAATAAATATGTTCAAAGCCAACAAAACAACCTTTGACACTTAAAGACTACGTGAATTTTGCTTATTAATTGTTTGGTCTTTTACTACTTCCTTAGATATAAAAACTTATCATTACAATGAAAGCTTAGTAATGTACTTACTTAATATTATTTCACTATTTATGTTAAATAAAAAAACTCTAGAAACCTAAAACTTTGTGCATTTTTTTAATGAACTGTTAAAGAAAATGCAACCACAAACGTCATTGTCAATCTTACGTGGCTGAACGAATATGGCGCCCTCATTTCACTACAATTAATTTCTAGGTCAGTAGCGCACCGTAATTATTAAAATTATTTAAATGTTTTACCATCAGTTTGACTATTTCCGTACAAAAAATTTATTAAAAATTTTAATTATTGAATTAGTAAATCTCTTATCTCTGATTTCTCTTAAAGTTTTTGCAATCATAAGTCGTCATTTGTACCATTTAGTGACGCCATTAAAACCAATTTTAAGGAAAAATTGATGTTGATTGACATATAATCAAAATACTTGTAAAAATTTATCATACCACTACACTTTCACAAAACACGTGTGCTCTGGTCGGCTGCCCGCTAGGAACTGAAATACAGAATCGAAATCGAAAAATACCAAAGAATTATTTTTGTTTTGTTCCATGACTACCACGGACTAAGATTAATATGATAAATCTTTTGTTTTTCCTTTTTTTTTGTAGGTTAAATTTAGGATTATTTTGAGGTTAATAAACCCAAAAATAAAAATATATAGACGTGTTATTAATGTAATAAGACTAGTAAGCAAAAAATAGTTTTTTGTTTTCATGGACTGCTTTTTTTAATTATTATTTTTATGAAAATGTCTATATTTGTTAAATAATTACATAGCACTACAACTTTCCTAAATGTGGATTAACTGTTAATGTTAATATCTAAAATATGGCTTTTGTAATGAAGACAGCACGAACCTTAAGAAATCATTGGAAAAAATCTACATTTGCAGCTGCGCTTCTTACATATGGCTTTGTTTCTGGTAAAACTTATTTGGAGTAATTTGACGATGCATACCATTGTAATCTTAAAACTAATTTAAAAAATTATAGCAACCAAGCTTTGATGAGGAACTATTGTCTTAAAGCTGCAGAATATGGCAAAGAAACAATATCTGTACATACGAATCCTCGCAGCATCACAATAATCTTAAATCCTAATGCAAATAAAAGAAAATCGCTAGATGAATTCGAAAAATACTGCGCCCCTCTATTACATTTAGCAGGCATCTCTGTTGAGGTTGTAAAAACTGAATCCGAGGGACATGCAAAGACTCTTATGGAAGGTATTGGGGGTACTGATGCCATTGTAGCAGCTGGAGGTGATGGAACATTATCTGAAGTTGTCACTGGACTGTTGAGAAGGACAAATGAAAATACTTCCAATTTAGTTCCTTTAGGTACAAATATTTTTAATTTTGATTTTGGCATAAATGTATTATTTGAATATTATATTTTCCAGGTATTTTGCCTCTAGGTAAAAATAATACTGTAGCAAAGAATTTATTTTCCTTGGAAAAGAAAAACAATGTTCGGTTTTTGGCTGACGCCACTATGGCTGTAATAGAGGAAATGACTAAACCTGTAGACATAATGAAAATCGAAGTTTTAGAAGGAGACGAAAATATATCTAAGAAACCAATATACGCAGTAGCGAGTGTAAAATGGGGTGCTTATCGTGATGCCGAGGCTAAGAAAGACAGTTACTGGTATTTTGGAGCATTAAGGAAATACGCAACATATATTTTTAATGGGTAAGTTATTGTATGTCGTGTTATGGAAGGATGTAGGTGTCGAAGCAACGAGTAGCAATTAGTTATAAATTTTTTTATTTTAGATATAAAAGTAGCCTTTCATGGAATTGCCAAGCACTTCTGAACTACAGTATGCCATGCAAAGGATGTTCAAATTGTAAAAGTAAACCTGTTACAGCGCAGAAAACCGGTTGGTTTCAAAGGTAATTTCTTCTATCACATAAAATCATATTAATATATTTTCAATCGTGGTACAAAGCAAGTGTTTCTGTACTGTTGACTTGGTATATATGTATATTAAAGCAAAATTTTAGTCGTCATGTCATGTTTAGATACTAATAGGCCAAACGTCACTAATGGATTCCGTTATAAAGATTACTGAAACTTTTTAATGTTTTTATTTCTGCTTTATTCAGTGACATATTTGTTTTTTATAAAGGGGCTGTTTAATTGTAGGTGTAAGGTCTACGTTAGTTTTCTCTTTGTCAAATTAGAAAAATATAAAAATAGTTTTAAGCAATTTGAAAAAAAAAATTGTATTGATTTTTATAGTAGAATCTAATGATGACGTTTGTCCCACTAGTAATAGAACTACTCCGTTTTCAGATTTATCAAAGAAAATAGATCTCACGATAAATATTTTGGAGTTTACAATCCAGAATGTCAAACGTCTCATCAGAAAGAAATTGTCACAGCCGATTTAGCGCTGTTAACATCAAATGCTATACCAAAGAGTTTAAATTCAAGGAACATTCCAAAACTAGAAATCCAAATAGGTCCGGATAAGTTGGATTATATAGATTTTGTTAAAAACGGGTGGATGTCTGAAAACGGCAAAAGCAGAGAAGTGAAAGAAGTTATTAAAGCCAGAACAATACAAATTAATCCGCTGAAGGAAAAGGAATCGTGGTTTTCCATTGACAATGAATATTACGAAGCAAAACCAATAAAAATTACTTTGCTGCCTGAAGCTATAAACATGTTTTGTAAAAAAGATACATCTCTCTGAGTTATAATAAAAATCAATTTTATATTTGAATAAATTATTGAATTGAAATCGAGAAATTTATTTATTTATGAAAAAACCATTATTTATGAACACACGGTGTGTTCTATGAAGGAATGCCCGAAAATTCTTGTTTTCAAGATGCAAGATTTTGAAATTGTAAAAAGAAACTTTCAAATCTTAAAATACTTGATGTAGCTAATAATCTAATTAAAAATAAAACCCATTGAATTCGTATACAAATTCATGGATGTACCAGTTATCACTGTTATAGTCTTTCCGATATCATTTGAAGAACCAAGGGGACGACAGTTTGTACCAGGTTCGGTCGCTGACGCAACAACTCGACATTAAAATATTTGTTCCCATATTTATCGGCATTAAAATATTTGAAAAACTTGTTCCCATATTTATTTAGCCATACCCATATACAGGTCGGGCCGAACTAAACGTGGAGGTGGTAGAAATGTATACACCCAATTGAAGAATGTGAGCGTGGACAAACGAAATACAAATAGTTGCATTGGGCACTGGGCAATAAATCTCAGCCGTTGACAAGTGGTCGACAAATTACCCAGCAGTGCAGTGCAGCAATGTGAAATTTGGTGTGATTCAGGTAATTTTAATTTATTATAGGCACCTTCTATTAATCATTGATAGGCTTTTTGAAAAACAAAACGAAATTTACCATCAATATAATAAAATAGTTTGACGACATAAATAATTAAAATATGTTGTTGGTCAAATGAACATATAACAGAAATTTTCTGCATATTATAATACACATTATTATAATTTTTTACCTTTATCAGAAAACTATTTCAGGAACGCCTATAAAACTCATTTAATTTTATTGCCAGGCATTTTTTTACACGTTCAACTGACTTCGGAAAGACTATACAGTATAGACTCTTTAATCCGAACTAATTAAGACACAACACTATACCAAGAAACTTCAGAGATATTCTAACCTAGAGTATTTTTTTAACCTTCAAGACCCTGTATCGCGAAAACAAAGCACTTTGCATGATTATTTTTCTCAGTTTGATCTTTTGAATTCAAAATTTTATGTTTGGCCAATTAATCCTGAAACATCCTATACAATAAACTGTGTGAATTTATAAAATTTATTTCCAAAACATAAAAATATCTACTGATAAATTTACTACAAATAGGATGCATACACAACAAATTATTCTAAAATCTATTTTAAAAAAATTTGCATTTAGATTTTGGAATATCAAAAATATTCAGTTTTGACTAGATTGTTATTATTATTACTAGAAGTGATATTTGAATGAGAAAAGTTACACTTAACATTTGAAATCCTTTCAATATTTGTTGAAAGCTGGAAAAAAATTAATTAAGTTTTTGATAACATTTTTATAATTGAAATGCAATTTTTACAAAATTCCAGCAACAAATATAAATAGTCTCTATTTATATTACACAAATTGAGGTTGTATCATATTTATTACAAAATACTTATATTAAAATAGAAAATGATACACTTATAACAATTCCGAACATAAAATATAACAAATATTTACAAAAATAATTTAAGGAGTCATACATTACAAATCAGACTAACGACTGAATATTTCAGCAAAAAAAAACTGAATATGTCCAGTATATTACGAATGTGAAACTTATGACTAGTTGATACAAGATTTAATTACAGTCAAACTTATATAAAAAAGTGTCTGTCTAGTGTAGACTGACTGTCCCCTGCTATAGTTCACTATGTAATGATGTAATAACTTATTAACTTTTACTTTGGTCCACAAAAAATTCTTGTATTAAAATTTGTTCTGTACATAAATATTTTTACAAACATGACACTTTTCTGTTTATCCCTTTTAGATATTGTACTTGAATTTTATTTTTACGACAAATCCATTAAAATAAAAGTTAAAATTAAAATAAAAACGGTTCATATCACATTTGAGATCCACATTAAATAAAATTTACTGAAGGTATCCGTACGTAAATCAAGATAAATGTATTTACTAGTTTGGATGTACATTCGATGTAAAGTTTGTGCAACTGTGCGGCTTTGAACAATTTATTCCGTCACATTTCTGTGAATTATTCGTAACTTTAAAGAACCTTAATAGAGGGCTTCTGGGTGACGAAGATCTAGAAGTCGTAGTTGCTAAGTCTAATTTTGGCGCCTTAGGCGTGCTAGGTCGTATAGTTCTATCTATCATTTCCTTTCTAAGACTCTTTTCAATCCTAATTTTTGTCAACCAGTCACAGTCTTTTTTCTTTGGTGGTGAATAGTTAACATGAGGAGCTACACCATCTACAACATAATTTGGGAGATTTATGGTTGGAGAAGACAACAAAGTTTCAGTTTTGCTCGTAGAGGGAGAAAGCAATTTCGGGATTTTTTTCGGTGGCTCCCAGTCTTCTTGGAATATTTTTCCATTACTTGGATCCAATGATTTAGCCAGTGTTTCACATTCCTCACTAACAATATTATTTACATTTGAAAATAATCTTCTGGGTCCAAATTCCGTTTGTAACCTTTTATTTTCGTTCATTAATTCGTAAGAACTTTTACGTTTAGAAGACATGTTACAATTTTCACAGAATCGCTTCGAGCTTTTATTGGTGCATCTTTCGCATTCCATACAAATTTTTTTGGGTGTATGCTGATCTTCTATGGTTTCTACCGTCACGTGCCTTTTTAATTTCACTTTCCTCGGAGAATTTTCCATTATGGGTATAACTTCAGCAAGACCTTTTCCAACGAATTCCCAGTTTTCTGGAAGATCATCTGGGCCAACAGTCCATATTTTATGGGTCATATCATCCGAGCAAGTTATTAACATAATACTGTTATCACTCCATGCCACGGAAGTGACTTCTGCAGTGTGTCCTGTGAGCTTCACTAACGGGTGTGACTGCTTTGTATTCCACACATACGCATTTTCATCACTACTACCACTTACTAAGTAACTGCCATTTTTACAGAGGGAAGATTTTACATAAAAAGTATTATTTTGATGACCTGTATACTTCATGACCGGCTCATTGTTGTATGTACACATGTTATAACAATAAATAGTATTATCCAAGCAGTTGGCATATAATTTAACTCCCTCGTTGTCGATAATCAAGTTGCTATAGCCATTTTTTGTGGTGTTACCTGGATAAAGTATAAAATTTTTCGGCATTGCTTCTTTCTTGTAAGTTACATAATTCTTACGGATATCCCATACTTTAATGATTCCGTCCCCAGCTCCACAAGATATCAAAGTGTTCTCGTCTTGAAAAACCAGGCCAGTCACAGATTTGACACTTGATCCCGTTGGGGTACCAAATTTTTTCCTGTTCTTACTAGGTGTGAAGGTTTTAGCTGTATGGGAATTATGAATGGTTCTATCTACTTTGCCTACAAAATTGCTGGCATTGGTTCTTGTGTCCCATAAAATAATGTTGCCATCCCTCCCACCTGAAGCAAAGACACTGGAATCATCTTTACGAAAAGCCACTGTCTTTACAGATCTTGTGTGACCGCAGAATACTCTTTCTTCTCTAATTTCACCATTTTCAATAGAGTATAGCTTTGAGGTGTGATCTCCGGAGGCGGTTACAAGTTTCATTTGGTCAAACATCCAGGCCAAATCAAATATTGCATTATTGTGTGCATGGGTGCCATATCTACACAGATAATTAATATAATTAAACAAAATAAAATAATTAATGAACCAAAGGATATAACATTATTTTTACTTTAATACAAATTTTTTCACAAAATTAAAACTTGATTTCTATTAGATTACCCAATGTAAACTTGTCCAATGGAATTATCTAAAAAAGACAATTTTTCTTAATATATTAGTACTAGTTTGTTTAGAATAAACTGCGTTTGTGTAATACGTTATAACCTAAATAGCAAATCGATTTAGTAAATTCGCTGAAGTAAAATTGACAAGCTGCTTCTAAGCTAGATAGTAACAAAATGTAGTAAACATACCTAGAATTATTGCTGCTATCATGGACTGCAAGTTTACCTTCCTCGTTAGCTAATGCTACAAAATGTTCGTTCCCTTCTTGTGGTGAAAATTTGCAGGCAAATATCGGCGTATCTCTATAAAAGTCGTCATTCTCCAAAGGAGGAATTAAATGTGTATAATAATTTTCTTTAGTACATCTCAGTCTTTTAATTGCGGTATCGGAACTTCTCCACGTTGCTATAGAATTATTACGATTAATTAGGTTCAAATACTATCTACATTACTACTTACAATATCCGTATTGTTGGTTAAACATTGCTTTAACATTATTTATAGACATTTTCTTAAATTCGATTATTTTCCTTTGCACTTGGTAGATCTAGAATATCACAATAAGCGGGAAAACATTAAAATTTCTTGTGGATTGTTTCTTATTTTCATCTTTGTTTATACCATTACTGTTACTTAGTCGACAAAGATGAAAATAAATCAATAGTTTTCGTCTTCCTCCTCTGTCAAATGGGTAGCGGCACTCTTATTCAAATTGCAGTATTCTTTTTTCATAAATTCATCGTTTTCACGAATGAAATAATCTTAATGCCCAGTGAGTGCAAATATTAAAAGTAAGTGGTAAACGCTGTAGGAATAACGACTAGTAAATTATCAGTTGTAATCTTAGAGCATATACTAAATGGAGGAGCACGCTTAGAGGGTAGTCTAGACGAGTGACAGAGAGAAAACTATAATTTGTGTCTATCTTTCTCTCTCGGACTGGCACATGATTAGTTATAGCAACTCCCTCCGCTCTCTAGCAGAAAAGGCATCATCTAACTTTTGTAAATGCAAGCGTACAAAAGTTGCGATAGATTTTGTTTGTTTATTCTTGTGCTATTCAAATAAAGTTAGGAGAGAGAGCACTTACCCAAACTGACGCTCTTTCTCTTTACAGCGTCTACACTTGTTGACACGCGGTGCTTCGCCCATGTAATATAAGCTCTAAGGTTATAACAAATCTAGTTATTGTACTTTCAACTACGTCTGCTAGATGGCTGCTGCTATAAAAGCAAAATCGCGTTTTCCCCTATTTCCCATTAGATTAGAAATGGGGCGATTAGATGCTTTTTAAAGATTCATATTGTCCGAATAATTTAAAAAACCTTATTAGTGGGTCATACCACACACTTTATCAATATAAACGTATTATAAAACTAGTATTTTAATATGACAAAAAAAATGGGAAAAGATTAGTTTATATTATATGATTTATTTTTCAGAACTTCAAATTTTAAATACCTACCTATATTTAAATCATACACGAGATTATCGTAATATCATAATAGGTACCATGCTATCACGATAATATCGTATATCCTTCGTCACATCATTCAACAAATATAGTATACACATTTTGTATGTACTGAACGGTACTAGTACTAGTGCTAAATAACAAAGCTACTATTTAACTATTTTATTGGCACGAGTTAGTATGCACATTAGAGCATATGTATAATAATATAAGGAGTAAGCCATAGAAAATTTAACTCGGAGAAGTTCACGCCGTGTTAAATATTGTACACGTTGTAGAGAAAAAGGGAGATACGTTGGGTATTCAGTCTTTTTTTCTCTAACTGTTGAAGAAGGAATTGCGTTGGCCAATCAATTGCCTGCGAGACACAGAGAGAGAGAGATGGTAATCTAATTGTCTATTTCTCTCTCTGTTATTCATCTTTTTCCATGTAGTATATGCTATAGGGTTGGTACGAATCTTTTTCAAATAGAATATTCAAGAATCACATTATCTCTTTTTTAGGCACGACGGCGTTGACAGTCTAATCGTTTTTGGTAGGCAACTAATAATACATAAATATGTACGAACTTTATGTTTTTGAAATAAATAAATAAATCTTAAAGAATTTGTGTGTTATTATTAAATGTCGCATAATAAAATGCTTATAAAGTGTTAACCAATTTCAACCTCCTTGCTATAAATTCGCTTTTAAATATAGAGTAAGTAGGTACTTGGTAGGTAAATCAGAACTTCTAATTTATGTATGCGACCTGGGTCGTCTGTTCCAACTAAATTCTGATTTGGATTATAACTGTTGGGTAAGTAGGCATAATTTGATGATAAATGTTTAGGAATGACTTGATATCCAAAGGGTCAATCCCAAGAGCTACTAATGGGCGTCGCGACGCCGCAAGGAGGGACGCTCCGATAGATTACACCTCCGGGATTCGAACTTCGGAAGCGTAAGTTTCCGTAATCCCTGATTTGCAAATGGTTATTCCCAGTTTGGTAACATGTTAGCCTTAGCGAAACTGACGCTTACGGAGATGCCAGCTGTTAGATTGAAATTTTATGTATTTACGTGTGAGCATATAGGCATACCGGCGAGTTAGAACCTCGAAAGTGCGATAAATTTTATGTACATACAAGAAGGTTGTTTATAAAATAAGCACACAAATGTCAATGTTCAACAATAGACCTTTTTAGTAGTGACGTCACATACGCCAAATAATAGGCAACTCCAAAGTGCACACAGAAATTTTACTAGATCGATCCAAAAAATGGCTTCCTTAGGTGCTTTCGTTTTGGCAAAAATGGTACCTAATAGCAACTAATATCAGTTCAGAGTAACTCTAAGTTGCTATTAGCTGCTGATAGCTACTATTCTTGCCAAATCGAAAGACCCTCTTGTCATGACCAGAAATATTTAAGAATCAGAAACGCAAGACCCTCAGCAACACTCTCACAACTAAAAATGTAAATGTTTAATTTAAACAAAGGGAAAAACATATTTTAATCGTATCATAATTTCTTGCATTATATGTATAAAACACATTAACTACATAGGTAGGTACACTTAAATTTATTTTATCGAGCCACTGTGCACAAGTAAACCTTTGGCAAGTTTCTACTACACTTTCTTAGACATGGAAGTTGTGACTTCTGGTTTCGGGTATGTATTTATAAGCAGTTCTAACTAATTGCTCCTTTGGGTTATTCATACTATTAATAATTTGCTTTCAAGTTTGTGGCAAACTTGTCCCTTCCAGTAGGAAGGTATTTATACGTTGTTGTTTGTTCCAATACTTTTTCGGTGGGAAACTGATTTTCCATTTGTTTATTGTTATGTTGGATACAGTAATTTTTTAAATTGTCTACACATTTTTTACTATTATCTCTTATACCTTTCTTTATTTTAAAGGAATTAGGCTACTTCAAATTCATTTTCCAAAAATGTTTATGAAATGGTGTATAAGCTCTTGGAATATTAGTACTTTTAAATAAAGTAAAAACACGACTAATAATAAAAAATGTGTAGTAGAAAAACTCAATTGAGACAATAAATATGTTGGAATGGGATAGGTATACAGGGTGTCCCAGAATAACGTGTACAACGGAGGACCACACATTCGTAGACTCAAAATAGGACTTTAGGCTAATTACAAAATTCAAAAAATTTTCACGAACTTTGAGGCTATCTAGCGGCCAAACGAAGTGATTTCGACTATAGGTGAATTAGCCTCAATCTGCCTATTTTACGTCCACGAATCTGTGGTGTTCCGTTGTACACGTTATTCTGGGACACCCTGTATAATATAGCAAATAATAATTCAAATAAATCTGGAGTTTTCACGATACGAAATTTCATTCATAAAATTTTTCATGAAAGGAAAACTTTGATTTAAGAGAATAACTATAATAGGGTAGTATCAGGAGGAACCACGAATGGGATCAGTGACGTGTGCAGTGTGGATTATATTAGATCTGCTTACGATAAACGGGCACGTGACCGCTGTGGCTGCTGATACGGACAGGTCACGTGTCCAATCATTTCCAAGTCTGCTATTTGTGAGCATTACTGGCTCCCAAATATGCAATTTTATGAGACGCATTGTAAACATTGCCTGTTTAATTTACCCTGAAACTAAAACATATTTGTTTAAAATCGATATACTGGGTGTTTAAAAGCCGAATGAGTGCAACAAAGAGACTGCTTATTTGATGACTATCATGATTCAATAATTGAATAATAATAATAATTATTATTATTAATACAAATTTTAAGAATTAGTAGGATATTAAAATGAATAAGTGTAATTTTGAAAATTTTGTTTGGACGAATAGAAGCGGAGTTATTGCATCTGAAGTGACACTAATGACAGTATGTTTATATCATCGGTACAAAAATGAACAAAGAACATTAAGTTTTGTTTTAAACTTGATAAAACTTTGACCGAGGTTGACTATGACGACCAAAAATTGCTCAGAATTCAACATAAGAGAGAGGATGGCAGAAATATAAATTATAGGTAGAAATAGGTACAAAACCTAACAAAAAAAACAAAAAGATATATAAATACCTAAAAAAATTAAGAAATTCAACGAAAATTAGGTAAAATATAAGCTTCTCGAATTAATTTTTTGAAAATTTGTCGACCACTATAAAATTTTCATGGTTGTCAAAAATAAGCTAAAAATCAAAAACGTTTTTCATCCCCCCTATATAAAATTGGTGCGTTACATATATAGCTTTAGTTCCACTGTTAAACTTTTATTCTGATTCCAATAGATAAAAATTTATTTTTTAAAAGTCCAGAGCTAAATTTTTAAAATATGGAAATGATTACGTTTAACATGAAATTTTATATTTTAAATTCTTTTGTCAACAAATATTTATACTAATTTATTACAATTGTTTTAAAAAAAATAATAAACTAGTGCATTAATTTTCAAAATTAAAGTAAATCAAATATTTTATTAAAAATGTCCAATGTAATATTTTCTTAGGTTAAGAAAATGTTTGTACTTTTTTGGAGAGGTGGAGGGGGGCGATGCCCTTGATTTACTGACTATTTTGAACAAAATAAATCGGTTTTGGAAAAAAACTTTTTGTTCTTATTTTTAAAAGTCCTGTTTACTTTGGGGAGCACCTTGTATACAGCGTGTCCCACTAGTGCGGGAAAGTCCAATATCTATGTTAAAATGAGGAATATATGGATTTTTCTTTTTACTGTGTTGCCACATTTCTCGGAATGTACAAATTAAAAATATATTCAACTATACAGGGTGTTCCACTTTTCCTGGACAGACACCAACTTTGGTTTTTTAAATGGAAACACACATTTTTTATATTTTTTTCGGATTCTACATCAAAAATAAAGGGTACTTTGTGTAGAATAGTTCTATTCAAATATTCACAGTTTTTGAGATATCTCGCTTGAAAGGTTTTTCTAGTCGATATTGGTTGCTTACATTTTCTGATACTGACAGGTTATACTAATAGCTACTAAGCCCATTTTTTTATCAGATGTTTAGTAAGGATGACTCTTCCGAATCATGCTCCAAAAACTGGCCTGCGTTATACAGGGTGACCAAAATATCATGTCAAAATTGCCAATTGAAAAATTGAAAAATCTCGATTTTTTTAAATGC